ACCGACATCTGCAAGAATCCGCACAAAGAAGGCAAACAAACGAAAGCAAAATGCCCAAACTGCGGGGATACACATCACGCCTGGAACAAACGATGTCCAGAAAGGGTAAAAAGAATACTAGCTTTCGGATCAACCCAGCAACCCAAAGTCACAACTTCAAGACCACAATCGACCAGACCCTCGGTAAAAAGCCAGTGGTACACTCCTCGGCAAGTCCGAATACATAAAGATCAGCAACAGTCTGACGCACCAAATCCTTCTAGTCTGAGCAAGGACAGGACCTCCAATAACTAAAGAAAACAAAATATTACTCCACAAGGCAACAGCAACAGAATAGATCAGGGCAGCAATAGATCAGGGCAGCAATAGATCAGGGCAGCAATAGATCAGGGCAGCAAAACGAATATACCTGCTATTGCCTCCAAGACCTCCCAAGAAGAAATGATGATCCCTACATCATCAAATGCCACAGTAGCTGGATGTAGCAAAGACGCCACGACCCAACCAAGAGTCTCCTCACCCACCAAGAAAAAAGTCTCCACTCCAGCCAAGAAGACACAAGCCGTCGGGAAAATCAGCACTTTAAAAACTACCATGAACTCAATGACTCCACTATAACGGAATAATGGACAATCTCAAGATTATACAATGGAATATTCAAGGATTCAAAAACAAAGCACAAACACTCAGAGCAGTGCTTCTCAAGAACAACATTGATATTGTTCTACTTCAAGAAACACTCGCCAGGACTAAAAGAAATATCAATGTACAGGATATCAAGGTTTCCACTACCCTATGGCACAAGGTGGCACCAGAGGCATTTCAATTCTAGTAAGAAATCATATCAATGCCACGGCAATCACAGACCTGCCCAACTGTGGCGAGAACGTCGAAATTATGGGAGTTAAGCTCACTATGAGGAACTCAACGCTGTCCATCTTCAATGTATACAAGAGCCAGAGAGAACACGACATGGATCTCTCAACAATCTTTGAAATAGCAGTCACTACACCTACTATCATCTCTGGCGACTTCAACACTCATAGTGAATTACTTCTTGATTCACCAAGAACCGACGCCAACGGAAGACATATTGAACACCTTTTGGATGAAGTGCCAAAAATCAGTCTGCTTAATTCGACGGAACCAACCCACACTGGTGGAGGAAAGTTGGATCTCACGTTTGTTTCCACCAGTATTTATGAGTTGTGTCATTGGTCAGTGGATCACGGTCTGACTAGTGACCACTTTGCTACAAAAACAGTTATTAATATAGCACTACCTCCCAGACCTCCAGCTCCCGAGCCCGGATGGGACTTTATCAAAGCAGACTGGACGAAGTTTCAGGAAGCTCTCGAAACTTGGCACCAAAACTACACTCCTCCTGACAACACCGAAGAAATGGAAAAAGATTTAGTAAATGCAATACATAGAGCAGCAAATCACGCCATCCCCAAGAGGAAAACAATTACCCAACAACACAAGGGGCCTCGTAGCCTGGTGGATAGCGCGCAGGACTCGTATTTCTGTGGCGCGGGTTCGATTCCCGCACGAGGCAGAAACAAATGGGCAAAGTTTCTTTCACCCTAAGTGCCCCTGTTACCTAGCAGTAAATAGGTACCTGGGAGTTAGTCAGCTGTCACGGGTTGCTTCCTGGGGTGTGTGTGTGTGTGTGGTGTGAAAAAAAAAAAAAAAAGTAGTTAGTAAACAGTTGATTGACAGTTGAGAGGCGGGCCGAAAGAGCAAAGCTCAACCCCCGCAAAAACACAACTAGTAAACACAACTAGTAAACACAAGGACCATTGGTATTACTGTGATAGGATCAAAGAGCTACATAATAGACTAAATTGTGCACGAAAGCATTTCAGAAGAGATAGAACCAAAGCTAATCTAGGACTTCTTAGAGCTGTCCGAGATCATGTGCACGAAGAAACAGCAAAAATCAGAGAAGGAAAATGGCTCGAGTGGTGTGCCAAGCTAAATCAGCATACGTCCTTGGGCGACATCTGGAGGCAGATCAACAAAGCCAAAGGAAAATCGCCATCTGCTCTGCCGCATCATGTTCATCCAGAGCAAGAAGCAGAAAGGTTAGCAAATCTATTTGCTTCAAGAGCCAATTCCACTCAACTTCTTCAAGAAACTCTGACTCACCGACAAAGACTTCAAGCAGCAAGATGTAAAAAAAAATAGATGATGCTTTAGCTTTACCTGACGAACTAGACCAACCTTTCAATCTGAAAGAACTCAGAAGTGCTACAAAGAAAACTAAAAATACAGCTCCAGGCGAGGACAAAATCACTTACAACATGCTGGCCAAGCTAGGAGAAAAGGGTGAAGAAGCCTTCTTGAATCTCATCAACAGAGTATGGGTGACAAGAACTCGACCACTCTCTTCGAACAGTGCAATTATAGTTCCCATTCCAAAACCTAAAGACCCAGGAAATCCATGACCCATCTCATTAACAAGCTGTCTGGCCAAAACTGCAGAAAGAATGGTCCTTAATCGAATTGAGTGGAAGCCAATCCACCGCACCAAAATATGTTTGCTTACAGAAAAGATGTTGGAACCACAGAATGTCTTTCCTCTCTCCTGGATCAAATCAAGGACAAACCTGGAATCCTTATTTTTCTAGACCTAGAAAAAGCCTTCGAGTTAGCCAGTGCTCCAGCTACACTGTGCTGCCTGGTGGATAAGGAAATCAAAGGACACGCTCTTGCCTTTGCCAAAGGAAGCCTGCTTAACCGAGAAGCTACAGTCAAATTCTAAGGAAAAACATCGTCCTCATAGAGGCTGGAAAATGGAACTCCGCAGAGAGGAATACTAAGCCCCTTCCTCTTCGACTGTCTCATGGAACAATTCATGAAGCTCAAGTTACCAAAGGCGAAACTGCTTAACTATGCAGACGACTTTGTGGTCATCATCAATGGCAAAGTCGCCAGGAAGCATGCACAAAATGCCTAGATATTATCATCGGGGAAGCGAAACGCATAGCAGTGAAAATAAACAGCAATAAAACCATAGCAATGGCCGTTAAAATGAGAACTCAAGACATCAGACTCGCAATACAAGGACATGAAATTGAGTGGGTTACCTCTTTTCAATATCTTTGAGTCATAATAGACAGCCAGTTAAAATTCACTCAAGAAATTTAATATCTTCGGCAACGCTGTAAAGCCAGAAACTCAGCTTTGCGCTCCCTGACAAGTCTTAGAGATGGTGCATCTCTACCAGTACTCAAAATATACTACGTTCAAGCAGTTAGGTCACTTATTGACTATGCTGCAAGGGAGGGAATCATTCGCCATCTCACAGTGAACGATCTTGTAAAATCAACGCAACACAGGTTTGTTAAAAATATATCCTATCGTACAAACCTGCTCACATTTTTGGAAACGGTAAACATCTGTTCATACAAGGGACTTAGATGTTGTATACATGGACTTTGCTACAGCTTTTGATAAGGTACCACATGAAAGATACCAAGGAAATTACAGGCACATGGAATAAATGGAAGAATACTAGAATGGCTAAAACAAAGAAAACAAAAGGTTGTGCTAAAAGGAAATTAATCCGATTGAGGAAATGTGGTGAGCGGGGTACCACCGAGGTCCGTTTTGGGGCCTACCCTTTTTGTCAATGACTTAGACGAAAATTTTACAAATGTCAAATTTGCAGATGACTTATGTTAAATTGGGAAGTGAACATTATATTGAGTCCTTACAAAGAGATCTACATGAGATCCACATATGGTCAGATTAAGACTGGCAAATATATATTAATATCGAAAAGTGCTGGACCTTGCATGTGGGCCGTAACAATCCACGTCACAACTACCAAATTAATAATAATAATAATTATATAATAATAATATTTTTTATTTAGGTAAAGGAACATACATAAAGAGATTTTACAAAGTTTGTTGGCTTTATAGATAGAGCTAGTACATACAATGCCTAAAGCCACTATTACGCAAAGCGTTTCGGGCATTAACATTACCTTGCAGATTGCTGAAGAGAAGGACCTTGAGTCAGAATCTACCATTCACTGAAAGTTGCACAACAAGTGGGAACAGTAATAAAGAAAACTACCCAAACACTAGAAAGAGTCTAGCGAACCTTTAATTTTAAGGAAAAGAAGATAGTTGTTCAGTTGTATACATCTCTGTGCCCAGTGCTCCTCAATTTGGCTTATTGTATCCAAGAATGGAGACCTCAACTTCAGGCTGACATAGCTGCCTTGGAGAACGTTTATCACCGGGTAACAAAAATAATTCTAGAACTAAATCGACTCTCATACCCAAGTTGAGCGCTATGGGCTAATATCGAAATTTTGAAAATATTGAACAATTTGGAGGATATTGATCCATACAACTTCTTCAAAAGGTCAGATATAACATAAACAAGGAACAACGGTTTCAAGCTCAACAAGCCACAATATAGGTAAGAAAATATATGCTTTTTCAGCCACAGGGTTATAAACCCATGGAACCGCCTACCTGTCGAAGCCGTAAATGCCAAAACACTATTGAATTTCAGGAATATCTGCGATATAGACGCCTCTAAATTCTTAGATTTGTTTTTAAATTATAATTTAAGATCTCACTAATATATGACGTTAGTGTGGTTTCCTTATGTAACAGACTTAATGCTCCCGCTAAATTCTAGTAAAAAGATGTTGTACCTATTTCAGCGTTGCTTCTTGAGACTTGTCTTGTTTTCTTAAAGTGATCCATAATTTGAATATATTGTTTAATTAAACAACTTACAAGATATTTGACGTAATTTATCTTTCATAAAACAGAAAATTAGGGCTATATTCAATAATATTATCAAATTTATATTTTTTCTAATTATATTTTGTATTTTACATGAGCTAAGATGCTTGGTTAACATTTTATTAACTATATTAATAGCTACTATATATAACATATGTATAAATGTTATGGAAAAATTATATTTTAGTAATGTAGCGGTTTGAAAAGATGCTCTGCTCCATCCCGTCATTTCCCTTGGAGTGGTGGAGGTAGCGGTGGACCGCGCGGCCTTTTTCCCACAGGCCACTTGTCGTATTTTACACACTTTCTGTCTACTGTACCTGTGTGCGTGCCATGCAATAGATCCTTCAAGATGTCGAGATCATATCAGAGGCCGGAGAATGCCCTCAAACGGGCCAGCGGTAAGTAATGCGATGTAATATGGTGGTGTGTAGGGGCCATGTTTATATTCCGTCCAGCTGGGGGAGGGAGGAAAATGTGCTCGCTGATGGCAGTGACTGGAGCTGTGATGGGCGGCGCTGGGCTCGCTGCTGAGCCTAGGAGGGTGTGGGTGATGTGGGTGTGGTGTGGGTGGCCAGTGAGGTCTTAACACAGTAAAGGGCTTCGTCACGCCTGCCGGGGTCACGAGCAACACACACATGGACGTTTCGTACAAGGCTTGTGTCCTATTTTGTGTATCTGTATGTTGGGGTTACGTCAGGTTGGGCTGGGCAGGAAAGATGTAGCTTTATCAAATATGTCTTATATTACACTATTAACCTTTCATTACACAGTGGTGTCCAGTAATGCCATTACCCCCCCCCCCCCCCAGTCATAGCTAGTATAGGTACTGTCAGAGGAACGTACTTTGGCTTACCATTACATAGCCTTTCTGGCTTGGTGCCTTCTTTTGATAATTGCTTACCATTGATATGCCCCCACACAGCTTTACTATAGACCATTGGGCACCTGTGGTAGGACATCCACGCACACTACCCATTCTCAAGTTCATCGACTTGAGAATGGCCCAGGACGGACCGAAACGTCGTCGTGCCTTCACTTTCTAGTGTGTGGTCTGGTGAGCAGTACCTTGACAGTACAGTGTTACAAGTAGTACTGTCTGACCTGGCGGCTCTCACAACACTGCCTAAATATAACAGTTAAAGTGGTGAGGAACTAAGAGGGAGAGAATCTTAAAAATATGGAAAAAGTATATATTTTTATATGTATTTAAGGAAATTTAAATATATCATAGCATTGAGATTATTTGTGCTAGGTGAAGCTTTAGGTAAAATGAAAAATGTTACCTGCAAGAGTGATGAACACTAGCAATAACTGAGTACCCACAAAATGATTCATGAATGCAAGTAACAACACAACAGTAATTAACAAATGGAACGCATTAAAGTAGTGTTGTGGTGGAGGCAGGCTCCATACACAGTTTAAAATATAGATATGATAGAGCCCAGTAGGCTCAGGAATCTGTATGATAGTTGATTGACAGTTGAGAGGTGGAACCAAAGAGCCAGAGCTCAACCCCCGCAAACACAACTAGGTGAGTACATTCAACAATATTCAGAGTAACGTACTTACAGGTACCACCACCTTCCTAGGAAATAAAGCAAGACATTATTGTCTGATGTTTTGTCTAAATATGTAAAATGGAAAATAGCCAAAGTCTAAGATGTGAGAACTATTCAGAGTTTAAAGTAGTAAGCTTAGCCGAGTGTCTCGGACTAGTTCCTACCTTGTACTCACCCACCTAATTGGGTGGGTGAACCCTGTTCATATCTTATAATGTTCTTCTGGCCATGTTATCCTGGAGCTGCCATAAGCTTTGAACATAACGAGTGAACTCCCTAGTGCCACAGCACACACTGGTGTAAACACATGATCAACTTCGATGAGATAGTTAGCATTGTTGTAGGCAAGTAAATACAATACATTATTATACAGTGGTACCTCGGAATGCGATTGTCCCTGTATGCGAGGTTTTCGGAAGGCGAGGTGTATTTACTCCAAAAATTTGTCTCGGAAGGCGATGGTTACTTCGGGAGGCGAGTTTGGACACGAGTTTGTTGATACGCGTACAGCCGACCTAGCGCGTTCGTCGCCCCTCCGCCCCGCCGCCCCTCAGTTTATTATTGTCTCGCGCTTAGTGACTACCCCCACATCAATTCTTCTCGCGGATTTTCAGTGTTTTGTTGGATTTTTGGTGATTTGTCTATACAATTTGTTATTATATATCTCACCATGGGTCCCAAGAAAGTCAGTGGTAAGGATAAAGGCCAGAAAGCTCATGTGAGGATGACAATAGAGGAGAAACAAGAGATCATTCGGAAGCATGAGAACGGTACACGTGTTGTTGAACTTTGTAGGCAGTACAACAAAGCCACATCAACAATATGCACTATACTTAAGAAGAAAAATAAGATTATGGGTGCTAAAGTGGCAAAAGGAGTAAGAACATTAACGGCACAAAGACCACAAATACTTGAAGAAGTGGAAAAGTTATTAATTTGGATACACGACAAGGAGTTGAGGGGTGATAGTGTTTCGGAGGCCATTATTTGTGAGAAAGCCAGGGTGTTGCACGAAGACCTTCTAAAGAATACCCCTGCAACGAGTGATGCAGATAAGAAAGAGTTTAAGGCAAGCAGGGGCTGGTTTGAAAAATTTAGAAAGAGAAGTGGTATCCATAGTGTTACAAGGCATGGGGTTATGTGATGTGATTATGGAAGGGGACTCCCCTTCCAAACAGTAACTCCTCTCCTCCTCCCCCCTCCTCACCATCTTCCATACGCCTACAGCACTCGACAGCAAGGTAAGTAATAACTGGAACACAGTTTTGTAGGTTTATTTAGATGAATTAGGTATAAAAATTTAGTTTGATGTGGGGTTTTTGGGGTATTCAGGAACGGATTAATTCATTTCCCTTTATTTCTTATGGGGAAATTAACTTCGGAATGCGAGTTTTCGGAAGGCGAGGCGTCTCCAGGAACGGATTAAACTCTTATTCTGAGGTATGCCTGTACATTCTATACTTTTACGTAACACTAAACATGTAGTTATTATTATTAATATTAATATGTTGGGTAGATATAACAGTAACTAAAGAACATTATACTGGACTTTTAAGTAATATTTATACAATTAAATACTGTATTGTATAAATATTCACCCTACCACACCTTGTTTACACCCCCCCCCCCACACCTTTCGCAGCCGGCAATGCCACTTGATAAGGCACAGAAGAGAGGGGAGAGCCGATACCCAAAGTAGTTGGCCATAGCATTATCTCTCAACACCATCTCATAGGATAATGGAATGTAGCGACTTGTCTGCACAAGGCATATCAGTCTCATTGGTTCAAATTTCGGCTTTCAAATGGGGAATGTTCTAATGTTATTCACGTCACATCGTCCATTGGCCTCCTGTACCCTAGTTGCCTCACTGGTGTGTAAAGACAGGTCAGTTGACATTTATTAGCACCTAGTTACATCACTTAAAGATGGTTATGTAACACTAAATGGGCACTAAAAGATTTCATAGATAATCATGTACAAAATCCAATTTTATTATGGTGTCTTGAAACTAATGTTACTTCAGTTTACTAAATACTTGACTCCATGTAAATAATAGCTTATTCTATATTTTTGAGAGATGGACAAACTTAGGTAAACCATATTGTGACCTGCTGGCGTGTTGCAAATATCCTACAATTGTTCACTTATAGTTCCTTGTCTACATTGTACCATCCAAGTGTTATAACTTCTCCAGCTTTGTGCTATATCATGATAATTAAATTAAATTTAATGTTCAAGTAAATAGCATAGTTGTCATTTATGTACAGTATCCAATAAACAAGCAGAGGGAACCCAGAGGGTTTTCACCCAGACAACCCTGGGTGTAAACTATAGTATAGCAGCAATAAAGGGTTACATCTGATGGAGCAGCACAATGAAGGATGACATTGTTGCATGCAACTATAATTGCATAGACTAATTACCTTATTTTTTTTCAGAATTCATTGATGTTGGGAAGCCTAACAGGGCCTTGGAGGTCCTCTATGAGGTCATCAAGAGAGGCAAGATGCGTAACACATTCTCCGAAAAACTCCTTGAGCCAATCATGTTCAAGTACCTGGAGTTGTGTGTTGACCTCAAGAAGTCTCATCTGGCCAAGGAAGGCCTTTACCAGTATCGAAATATTTTTCAAAGCGTGAGTATTTAATATTTAACTTGAATTACATGTTAAAGAAAGGGTTGCCGTGACTTTTACCCATTGTTAGTTATACTTTTTCTTCTCAAGTTTCCATCCATTGTCTGGAATACCTCATGTTGATTGGGAATTTAAAACTCATTAGTACAGTATGAACAAAAATGTATAGGTGCTATCAAAACTGAGGAATGTACCAATATTGGGAATGCTTATCTTGAGGTTATCTTGAGATGATTTCGGGGTCTTTAGTGTCCCCGCGGCCCGGTCCTCGACCAGGCCTCCACCCCCAGGAAGCAGCCCGTGGCAGCTGACTAACACCCAGGTACCTATTTTACTGCTCGGTAACAGGGGCATAGGGTGAAAGAAACTCTGCCCATTGTTTCTTGCCGGCGCCTGGGATCGAACCCAGGACCACTGTAACGGGGGTGGGGGAAATAGCTCTATCTTGTCCATTATTCCACCCCCCAGTTAACTAACGAAGCCGGGGGAAACAGCTCTCTCTAGTCCGTTATCCCGTCCCCAGTTAGCTAACTATTCTAGAGCACTCCCAGAGTTCCTACGGCAGCCTCTCACGTTCAACACCTTGTAACCTAGGTATTTGACTACCTAGGTGCTAAGACTACAAGGCGCCGTAACTTGATCAGTTACCCGAAACTCTAGAGAGAACTCTAGAATACATTTCACTGCCACAAATGTATAAGAGAAAACGAAAGGAAAGAAATGAATAGTGAAGTAATTAGTGAGGGTTTGGGGTGAGAGGTAGAGAGATGGGAGGAGCGAGGAGGGTCATTAGTTGAAAGTGAGAGTTTAGAAAGGGGTGGAGGGAGAGGTGTAGATAGGTAGAAGTAGAAGAGTAGATAGTGGAAGTAGAAGAGTAGATAGTGGAAGTAGAAATAGGAAATGCTGCCACCATCCATTCTAGACCATTACATACAAGACAAGGAATGGAACTTGTCTGTATCAAAATATTCTCAAAAGATGTTATTACCATGTATCAACTCCAAACATGTACTCATTAATATCTTGAACCAGTAACCACAGAGGCTTTCTCACCTCAACTCACAAACTCTAGGGAACAAAGTTAAACAACCCAATTTAAATAATAAATTCATAATTATATTTCACATGAAGTATCATAATTTAGCAATTCAATTAAAATGTTCCAGTTTAATATGCAAAGTGAGTCATCACCCAAGAATTTGAGAACCCTACAACTTGATTGCCCCTGATCATCACACAACATATGTAAACACGACCAAGTCACCTTAATGTTCAACTTACCAAGTGTCTGCCTATAGCTGGATTGAGAGGGGGGGGGAGGTCTGTAGTTGATAGAGACTGTCCCGCCCTGCCGGCCGACAGCCTCCCTGCTAGGCCATCTTCTCTCCTCTGCTGGCTGCTGTTCTTCTCTGTCTCGTTAATGCTCTCGAATCGATCGCTCTCCGAGTATATATTGGGGAACCTAGTAACTAACTCCGCCCACAAGTAGATAGCCTCCGGCTCTCTACCAAGCCACTCCTTAAACGTCGGCATGTTTGAAGGCTACCAGGCTCCAATTATAAGATTAGCAGAAGCAAGGTGAAATTCACATGATCTGACCTCAGGTCACTTGGGGTCATTAACGCTTAGAGGTGTGAGTTTCTGGTCGACAAACTGGCGCCTTCTCAAATCCCTGTCTGTGACTCCTGAATCTCTCTGTATTTTAAATACAACTAAACCAAACACCTTTTACAGTGTTACACCACAAGTCTCGCGTGTGTATCATATTGTCCCACTTATGTGTATCATATTGAAATATCTAGATTTGTTTCATAGGAATACAGTAGTAGTTAGGTCTTGTAGCAGATTTTAAAAGTGCAATAACTTGCCTGTGTGTCCGGTAATGGCAACTGTATCCTCCTCAATCAGTTTACAATGTATTTTACATTTAGAATTTACTATACAGTACATTACTGTACCATTATTAACAGTATTTGTATTATTGGCATTTGTATTGAGATTTGCCTAGGATGGGAACTGGGAATTTCTTATGATCAGCTGTGATTAAAACATATTTACAGCAGTTTGGAGTTTTTCTGTTGAAAGTAATTGATGGGGCATGATACACAGTTGTAAACTAATTTTCTTTTAGGTAAATGTGTCTTCCTTGGAGACTGTAGTCCGTCACTACTTAACACTGGCTGATGAGCGAACAGAAGCAGCTCGTAAGGAGAGTCACCAAGCTGTTGTAGATGTTGATGATTTGGACAACCTGGCAACACCAGAAGAAATTTTGTTGTCTGCTGTATCAGGAGAGGATGCTCAGGTTTGTTTTGAAGGCATCATCCTCTTTTGTTTTCTTTCTCCTCCCTCAAGCCTTGCATTTTGGATTGCTTCATCTCACAAGTTACATTGCTTGTAGTTTAATACATGTATGTGTCCTTTCCCACTTGTTATCTATGCATGTGCACATTCACATAGGACAAGTTTTGTTTACAATTTGTATATGTGGACAAAGTATGAAGCGATACAAGCGTGCATGTGTTTTCCGTGGACTTGTTTGATGAAAATATAAAATGTACTTTGATATTCAAAAACAAATATTTGATAAAATTTAAGATTTTCTCCTTGCCCCGTTACAGGACCGTAGTGATAGGACAATCTTAACACCATGGGTCAAGTTTCTTTGGGAGAGCTACCGGCAGTGTTTGGAGCTGCTCCGTACAAATTCCCGGGTCGAGCGACTTTACCATGACATTGCTAAGCAGGTAGAGGAATTGAGACTTGTGTAAAGTTTATTACAAATGTATTAGTATGTTAATATGAAATAGGGATTTAATTTTTTGGCAGAATCGGGCCAGTCAACAAATACAGCTTGGTGGAACAGACATGATATTCCATTTCACTAAGTGGGTCAGTTGGCCAATTCATTCCAGAATCACTGTCATCCATTTGAGCAAAGTCCCAGTGTAGATAGAATACTCTTTTTTTCAGTTAACACAGGAATTGGGATAAATCCATTTCAGCTGTTAAAGAATACTGTACAGGTAAGTTGCCTAGAATCATTGTTGTACTGTAATTATTTACAACTGTCATCTGAGGATAATGTAGTTTCTTATTATTTTTGTTTTCTTAACAGGCCTTCAAATTCTGTGAGAAGTACAGTCGTAAAACAGAGTTCCGCAAGCTTTGTGATAATTTGCGTACACACTTGTCCCACATCCAGAAGCAGCAGGGGTCAGCAACTGCAGTCAACCTTAATAATCCAGAAACCCAGCAGGTAATGATTTTATAGGTATTTATGTTAAATATTGTACATAAGTTTGATGCACTGACATGGTATGAAAATTCATAGTGTATAAGATAAGGCAACATTTAGATATGATTTCTTGTTAATATTTGTTGGCAGTTAATTTTCATCTTCATAATTGGAGCACAAGGGTTATAGTGGTCACTGAATAAAGAAAAAATGGAAGAATTACTGTACAGGAATGAAAATCACTCATACATTGTCATTCCCTCATTTTCCAGGTTTTGGGGGTAGAAAGGCATTATCGTAGAGAATAATGCTGATAAGCGTAGGATTCTGAGCCCAGATACCAAATATCAGTTGGACAATGTTGAAATTTCCAAATTGGAATGTAGAAAAGATCTAGAAGTAATGACTAATAGGGATCTTAAGTTAAAACATCAATGTATAGAATACAGTAGTGTAAATATAATACAGGGATTCATATCTAAAAGCATTAACAATCAGACATCAAATGTTATTCATGAGCTTAATCTTGGCCTTGTTATTGCCTCTTAGATTATGCAGTTCAGACATTAGGGGACACAAGGGGCTATAACTGTATTTTAAATATTGGTTGCAAGTTGTTTATGCAGTTTTATTCTACAGACGCTATCTGAAATTACTTTTTTTGTGAACCACCTCTGCTTGCAATGTCAGCAGTTGCAATATGGCCAACAGCTCAGAGGTTATGCTAGGGGTAAAGCATGTCACCCCATTGCGAGGTGTTGTTTTCTTGGAAGGTAAACCACTCAACAGAGGTGTCCAAGTGAACTCTGCTGGAGTGTTGGTTGTCTACTCGACCTGTATTTAGGCAGAGAGCTAGAGGCTGGGTTTACATGGTTTTCTTTTTGGTGTATTGCTAGCATAAACAAGGTTCCCAGATGGGGACGACAGTTAAGGGGGGGGGAAGGTTCACCGATATGACTATGTGTAAATTTACTATTTATTACTGCTTAATCCTACACACATGGTTTGGTGATTTCTCTTTACTTTATGAAGTATCGTGCACAAAACTAAACGGTGATATGTATCTCGCCCGGCAAAAGATACTCGACCCACATGAGGGATCCTACCTTAATGTTTACCTAGGATGCACTTCACACTATGGTTTCCTAATTACTGCTGCAATTAAGAGGATTACAGGAGTTCCAATGGGGATACTTGAGACATGTATTTACATGCACAAACATAAAAATATCCTACACATGGTGTAGCTACATATGGTCTGATAATCTATACATCTGCTCTACTTAACTGCACTTGTGGAAGTCATCACTCAATGCAGGGCACATAAGGCTTTAAAATGGAATATCTCCAGTTGCTCAGATTCCACCACCACCTATTTCAGGTGTGTGTGTGTATAGGTGAATCAAACTGAGCTATCCCATGGGTTGTCATGAATGCAAGACAATTTACACTCAAATAGTTTTTACTTAAATCAGGTCACACCAAGTGCTCGCAATACTTCATTCACATAATCCTCGTTGTGACTGCAGATGGCTTAAATAAATAGATAATTGTATCTCATCTGCCTGCAGTATCCATACCACAAACTGAAGGAAATTACTGAAAATAATGTTGCTGCACTTTCCATAGATGTGCACAGTCAGGTGTTTTCATTTTACAATTGGGTCACATGTCTGGGATAGACTGGCTACCCTTGGCTACAAATTGCTTATCTTAACCCACAAACGATTCTGGGTTTGTGGCAATACCGTAGTAATAAATTGGAGCTACCTTAACTTGATGCGGTCAGCACTGCACAACTATAGGGTTTCTGTTTTGGCCAAAATTGGAAAAACACATTTGTGTGTCAATGGCGGCCCTGAGAATGAATTTTGTTGCTCATGGCCCAAGTGGATGCTTGCTGGTTTCACCAAGCTTCTGTATGAATCCACCAATCAAAAAGTAACTTCTACATTGGCTTCCTATCTGATTGGCTCTTCCCAGAGATAACATGACATCACTGGGTGTCGAGTCGATGTTCTCTTTGCCCTAGTACCTTCTGCTGCTGATCATTTGAGTTTGTGCCACTTCCTTCTACCTAGAAGTGGCAGCTCCAACTGTTATACATATACAAGTACAGTAAGGTTTCCCTTGATCTTGTAGCATAACCTGACATTGTATGTTGGCCATCATACTGTATCTAGATAACAAATGAAAACAGCTATCCAGGGATACCCCCCCCACACAATGTAATTCAACCAGAAATAATGCTATTCATAATTCCATGCACTGTAGTGAACAATCACTCATCTTGGGTGTGCACGTTTGGCTGAGAAAAATCCATCTTCTCATAATCACACTAGATAATTGAACCTTGACTTCCCAGGAGGATAACCCAGTTAGTACCAAGCTTAAATTTTAAATATAAGTGCATGTACAGCACCAGTATACAGTTTGTAATGTGGGTTAAGTGAATTGGATCTGTGATATGAGTTGATTCTTTTCATGCCCATGACCCACTATTCATCCCTGGCTGACTTTGTTTGCATGTAAATGGCTAAAATTGTTGTCATTTAAACTACTTGTTTGAATATGCTGTATTAAACTATACTCTGTTGCTTTAAAGATGAATCTTGAGACACGCTTGGAGCAGCTGACTTACGCCATCAAAATGGAATTGTGGCAGGAAGCCTACAAAGCTATTGAGGATATTTCTGACCTTATGAACAAATCAAAGAAGATGCCCAAACCACATGTGATGGCTTCTTATTACCAAAAGCTGTCCCTTGTATTTTGGAAAGCTGGTAACATGCTCTTCCATGCTGCTGCCCTCTTCAAGCTTTTCCAGCTCTTGAGGGACCAAAAAAAGAATATCACAGGTGAGAGCAAATGAGGAAGTTAGAAGAAGAAATTGAATGATAAGTGTTTATAAGCTCAGTATTTTCAAGCTATTAAGTGAACTGTCCAGTATTTTGTTAAGTGCAGCAGGTATAGATGTGATATGATTGCCACTTGCCTTTTATCTCTTCTGAGGGGCCCCAGGATATTTTGCTAGATATATTTTTTTTTAGTTCATAGTTGGGTAAATTGTTAACACTTTGATGCTTTGGGTGCACATGCACCACACTACTACGGGTGGGTTTGGGTATTCTGCGGGAGCGCACGGTAATTCTGAAAAGTGTGTAATCTTTTCAACTTTGTTACCTCAATTCTCGTCGTAGGTTTTTCAATTTGGTATCATTGTGTTTGCAATAGAATTCTCTACAGGACTAAAGTCGTATTAAGTCCAAATGCCCAGTGTATCGTCCACAACAAACAGAGAGTGAGAGCGTGTTACCCGGGAGAGGGCAAGACCGATAAAATGTGTACACTCCTTTCACTTTGGTCACCTCAATTCTCGTCCTAGGTCTTTCATTTTGGCATCAATATGTTCGCAATAGAATTCCCAACAGGAGTATATGCATATAATGTAAAAAACAGTGGTGCGCTCCACCTGCCGACAAGATGAAAGTTACCAGAAAGAGAGCGCTGCACCACACCAAGCGCCTCTCATTACAATAGAGAGCACGGTCATACCGAAATGTGTATACTCTTCAACTTTGTCATCTCAATTCTTGTCCTAGGTTTTTCAATTTGGTATCAATGTGTTCGCAATAGAATTCTCTACAGGACTAAATGCATATAAAGCCCAAAAGCCAGGCGAGAAAGTGAGAGCGTGTTACCTGGGAACGCTCAAGAGCAATAAAATGTGTACACACTTCACTTTGGACATCTCAATTCTCATCCTAGATCTTTCATTTCTTTGTCATTGTGTTCGCAATGAAATTCCCTACAGGAGTATATGCAACTATACAATCCAAAAGCCCGGCGTCCCACCCACAGCAAACAGAGAACGTGACGATGCATTACTGCAGTGAGCGCTAATAAAGAGCAATAAAATGGGTATATTCTTTTCAACTTTGTTACCTCAATTCTGGTCCTAGGTCTTTCATTTTGGTGTCAATGTACAGTATTCACAATGAAATTACCTACAGGTGTTTATGCATATAATGTCCAAAACCGTGGCACACCCCTTCCGAAGCCGCCACCCATTTGCCGCCGGAAACGAGGCAATGCTGCGTCGTTACCGAGCCGTAGTGTTAAGTAACTCGTTACACTTCAAACTTACTGGAACACAACTCTTTGGAGTTGAATACTTTACAAAAATAAATCTTTTGATCCAATTCAAAAACCAACTGAAGCTGGTAACTTTGATACCTCTTGCTTAAAACTCCTAAAGTCAGAAGGATCGATAGGCATTGCTTTAGCAATCTGTGTTTGTGTTGAAAATAAGGATCAAGCCAGCATTTGCTGTTGATTTCAGGCAGTAGGCAGTCACCCTACTAACAATACTTCACAGGCCTTGTACCTCAATTACTGTCTATAAAACACACAAATTTAAACTTTAAAAAGAACTCACTCAGTTGTTTTATTTTACCAATGATGAGAGCTTAGAGAGAATATTGTAGAGAATGTGTGTATTTAGTGGCCATTTGTATTATGAGAGCCTGCCAGGCACTCACATACTCCTTCGTATGTTATATCTCCTCGTATTTACTCATTTATTTTTTATACAACAATTAGTATACTGTATGTTAATTGTGTATAAACAATATACATGTGATGCAATATGTACAGTTAATATATTGTTGGCAGAGAGGAAAAAGACGGCCGAGCCACTTAACATCCTTGTTTACACGTAATCTCCATGTTTAGACTCGAGTTAATGAGTATTGTACTCATTCTTGTACTTGATTTATGATGAAATACCATGGTTAATAGTGCAGATACAATAAAAAACATACAATGCTTGGAAACATAACCTTTGTGTGACGGAACATCGGCAAAATCACAGGACCTTGATTGATAAAAGTGCAAAAATGGATATTAACACGGTATAAAATATATCGACAGAAAATGGAACAAGACAGTGTATATAAATTTGAAGTCAAGATTTAAGGAAAACCAGGGTGTATACCAGTTTTGAAAAATATTGATGATTCAATTATAATTATGACATGGATATGAATGAGTTTGGGTGGATGTAAATAGGAGCTGCCTTGTATGGGCCAATTAGACTTCTTCAAATTCCTTAATATCATTGTTTTTAATGAGCCAACATTATATAATATAAAATGAATCCAAGTATTGTAATATAATACCTGGCCATATATTCAAGGAAGAAATCAACACAGCCCCCCCCCCTTTAATGAAATTCATTCACATAAGTTATTTTTGAAGAATTTAGACTTGCATTAGGCAGGTGTTTTCTTGTACTCAATGGCTGCAACTACAGGGCCCATAGTCCTGTTTTAAAGGCAAGATTTGTGGATAAATCTTACTGGGGTGTAAAAACTGAGGTATTTACCAATTTTCTTTTTCTTCAGTAAATGCCTGTCACATCTGGCAAGTTTGCCTACCACCTCATCCAAAGGCAGATGCTTAGCCTGAAATTGTCTTGGTACAAAAATATTAGTGTTAATTCTGTTCTCAATTGATAGCATTGCATTTCACCTAACTAAACTTTATCATAGGCAGGTTATGCATGCACTCATGTTTTGACAATTAGCAAAGAATAGTTTTATCTTTTTTTATCTTTGTTTCTTTTGTCTCTATTTCAGCCGAGGAGGTAGGGAAGCGTGCATCAATAGTGCTGATCGCTACACTGGCAATACCTTTACCTTCTGCTCACCCTGAGTTTGATAGATTTATTGAGACAGAAAAATCAGCTCTGGAGAAAATTGATAAGCTGGCAACTCTTCTCTCTCTTCCTAAACCACCTACACGTGTCTCCCTTATCAGGTAAGATTATTCCGAGGATTTCTATATTAATCGTTGAATTTTGCATTTTTTTTTTTTTTTAAGTTGTCTTATTAGATTGGTCTGTATTGTGAGAAATTCTTACAATGCTTGTCCTCTTTTATGGCTTTTGCTAGGACCCATTTCTAGATTTAATTGTTAAATTTAATTGCCTTTTTCACAAAACACAGGAAAATTAAGACATTGAAAATTGATTACAGAGTTTTTGGGCTCTTATCACCACGTCTCACTAATTACCTTCACACAGATTCCACCACTATTATCCTTACTATAGAAACTTGAAGGGAAGTAGTACTTCGTTGTAGTTACAATGCGTCTTAACACTTGCGCACGCCCCAACCCACCCAAGGGTGGACCTGGTGTTTCCTTGGAGTGCGCACCCACTCTAACATAGGTACTCTTTCCAGTGTTCTGACCTCCATCTTCGAGCTACGTAGTTCATTTTGGTATCAAATTGTTCGCAATCTAAAGTTGCGCATTTTAAAACTAGTCCCATAATGAGGGGATAAGAACTATAATTTTAACAAATATTTTAAATTTTTACACAACATGCGTCACCAGCAGACATCCATCAATTTATTGACGCAGACTGCGTCGCCACGAGATGAAAGTGTTAAGAACAGAAGCAGCGGCTCTCCTCTGCTCGGGGAGCCGGTAGGCCGAGCGGACAGCACACTGGACTTATGATCCTGTGGTCCCGGGTTCGATCCTGGGCGCCGGCGAGAAACAATGGGCATAGTTTCTTTCACCCTATACCCCTGTTACCTAGCAATAAAATAGGTACCTGGGTGTTAGTCAGCTGTCACAGGCTGCTTCTTGGGGGTGGAGGCCTGGTCGAGGACCGGGCCGCGGGGACACTACAGCCCCGAAATCATCTCAAGATAACCTCAAGATATCATGAGGTCAGGACATGGCGAGGGTAACATTGGTGAACATGGGGTAGATACTTTTGTGAAACTGCGTATAATGCAAGCAATGAGGGGAAGAGGTGGAACTGGCATTATTAGACCTGGTGTTTACCCAGAGTACAGCAGTTATGAGGTGCCACTTGGTGCAAGTGACTAGTGGCACCCTCACTCCTCTCTCTCTCTCTCTCTCCTCCCCTCCCCTCCCCCTCGCTCCTCTCTCTCTCCTCCCCTCCCCTCCCCCTCGCTCCTCTCTCTCTCCTCCCCTCCCCCTCACTCCTCTTTCTCCTCTCCTCCCCTCCCCCTCACTCCTCTCTCTTCTCCCCTCCCCCTCACTCCTCTCTCTTCTCCCCTCCCAATCACTACTCTCTCTCTCTCCTCCCCTCCCCCTCACTACTCTCTCTCTCCTCCCCTCCCCTGCACTACTCTCTCTCCTCCCCTCCCCCTCACTACTCTCTCTCTCTCTCTCCTCCCCTCACTCCTCTCTCCTCCCCCCCTCCCCCTCTCTCCTCCCTTCCCCCTCTCTCCTCCCCTCCTCCTCTCTCCTCCCCTCCCCCTCTCTCCTCTCCCTCTCTCCTCCCCTCTCTCCTCTCTTTCCTCTCCCTCTCTCCTCCCCTCTCTCCTCTCTCTCCTCCCCCTCTCTCCTCTCCTCCCCTCCCCCTCACTCCTCTCCTCCCCTCCCCCTCACTCCTCTCCTCCCCTCCCCCTCACTCCTCTCCTCCCCTCCCCCTCACTCCTCTCCTCCCCTCCCCCTCACTCCTCTCCTCCCCTCCCCCTCACTCCTCTCCTCCCCTCCCCCTCACTCCTCTCCTCCCCTCCCCCTCACTCCTCTCCTCCCCTCCCCCTCACTCCTCTCTCCTCTCACCACCATCACTTGCATCATCTTTTGGGCACATGTTTGCACATTTGGGTAGGGAAACACATGATAACTTTGCAGGTGTAAATAACTTTAATGATCATTATTTTTTCAATATATTTTAGTAATCAAAAATAACTTATAATTCTGTATTTTGCTCTTCTCTTTGACATAAAGATTTTAACCATTATATTTATTTTTTACAAGGGACCTGATTCGTTTTAACGTGGTGTCGGCAGTTCCTCAAGAACTCCAAAACCTGTATCGACTGATGGAAGTGGAATTTGACCCTCTTCATTTATGTACAAGAATGCAAGGCAACATTGAGTGGATCCAAGAGCATCCTGAGCTAGGCAAGTATTGAGATATTTGGGGTAATGGTCCCCCCTCAACAGCTCTCCAAGCTGAGCACTGGTCCCCCCTCAACAGCTCTCCAAGCTGAGCACTGGTCCCCCCTCAACAGCTCTCCAAGCTGAGCACTGGTCCCCCCTCAACAGCTCTCCAAGCTGAGCACTGGTCCCCCCTCAACAGCTCTCCAAGCTGAGCACTGGTCCCCCCTCAACAGCTCTCCAAGCTGAGCACTGGTCCCCCCTCAACAGCTCTCCAAGCTGAGCACTGGTCCAGCCAAACCTCAAGAGATGCACCAGGCCTCTGAGACCTTCTATCAGGAGTTGGAACAAAAATCTGACTTGACCTTTGGGTACCTCATTTTCTGAAAGCAGTTGCTTGTTTTGTTGTACTTTCTGGTGTTTAAATCTTCCCTCAGTTTAGGTTTGATCCCCAAGTTTCCCTTCCCCTCTCACCTCTGAGCGTTTATCTGCCAACCTATCTGCCAAAGCCAAATTCTGGTCCTGGATCTCAGAGATGTGGTGCATCTTGCTAGGGCTTGGTTGACCACGTACTCAGCATGAGCTATAGACGGCCTAACAGAAAAAAAAATACATTAAACTCTAGATTTATTTCTCTTTTTTTTTTCCCCCAACATTGTCAAAGTGAAATTAGGCATTATTAACCCTTGTACTATATATATCATAAAATGTTCAACCATGGTGTGCATATTATTCCAAGATGTTTTAGGTACAGGTACTTCGCAACATTTGAAGCTCCTGTAGTTTACAAAGGTTCCAACTTGGTAATTTAAAGTTAAACTTCTAAGTTATTTTGGTGTGAATGTTCACAAATGCTTGTTCTGTCAGTTAGGCTAGTTAAAACATGATTATTGGAAAATAATAGGAAAAAGTAGCCAAGAACATAATTTTAGCCAATAAAATAGTCAGCACTGCTCTGTAGTGATTGTCCCCTACTCTTAATTATTTCTGCTTAATACTATTCAGTAGTGTTTCCAGTGTCATTATTACTTATTAAGATAGGTACTTGTTACACATTACAGGGTTGACTCAGTATGTAGGCGCGCTACAGGAGATGACTATTACTCGTCTTGTGAAGCAGGTGGCACAACTCTACCAGTCCATCACTTTCAAGCGCCTCTTGGAGCTTAGTGTGTTTGTTGCTGGCTTTCACTTGGAACGCATTTTAGTTGATTTGGTTCGTCATAATGACATGCAGGTAAGAATTAGGAATACCTTGTGGTTTTAATCCTCTTTTCCATCTTCCCAAATATCTAGAGAATGCTTTTGTTAATTAGCCTGATGCTTTTTATACGGTGGTGTAGAGAAAGTTCTATTGTTATTGGGTCATCATTCAGTGCCAATATTACACTCCCTGAACTCAGTATACCTCCATGTTAATTAGGCACCTTATTGCACCACACTACAAGTATGCCGAGATATGCCCGCCTCGGAGATTGACATTCTTTACTGACATCGTGCTATTGAAACATACTGCAGGGTAAAAAAAGTAACGTGCAGTGACGTGACGGGTAAAAAAAAGTTTTATAACATTTTTAAAATTGTTTATATTTTTATAGTACAGGTTTGATTATTTCATGCAGTGTCTGCATAATGCAGTGCTTATACATTTTTTCACTGTTTTAGAGTTGGGTGGCTCTTGCCAGTAGACAAATTGCAGCCTAAGTAAATAAGACTAAAGACCACCAACCCGCTCCCCCAAAATGCAGGTTCTCTTGTAAGATGTGCAGCATTACCATAAACAATACCTACTGCCTTAGCTATTGAAATGACATGTTTCCTAATCTGAATTTAACTACTGGATACTTTTTACTATTTTCCTTAAACATTGAGAAGTTATCAGGAGCATTAAAATATCTTGCATTTGGAATCTAAAGTGAATTTGATAAATCCCCAAGTTTATTTTGTATACATTTAAACCTTAGATGTGTTACCCTCATACCTAGTCAATAACATAATTCACTTGTTTTTACACAATTATTTTATTTACTCTTAAGACAACTACATGGAATATAGATTGGATATGGGAAATAGTGAATAGAGAAATCTTATAAATGTTAATATTTTGACCCTTTTGAGATCAAATTTAAACATTGGAAACATTGTCATTTTGATAATTTTGAATTTTCTTTTAAACTTAATATTGTACAGTATTTAAAAAAAAGTCTGCTAGCAGAGGGATGCACTTAAATTGAAGATGCATACTTGTGAGAAAGGTACAGTAATAAAATAGGCAAGTATTGAATAATTGACAGAAATTATAAAGCTTTCCAACTAATCTCTTATTTACAGATCCGAGTTGATCACCGTAGTGAGTGTATCCACTTTGGTGCTGATTTGAGTGAATCTCAGCGTGAGGACCTGCCTGAAGGCCCCATGCTTCAGTCACTTCCCTCTGAGACTATTCGCTGTCAACTAGTGCAAATGGGCTCAGCACTGCAATCATGTCTTGACCTCATTGTTCCAGATAATAAAAAGGTAAGAGAAGAGATGATGTTATAAAACATTTTGCTTGATAGTTGTTTATAAAAATATCTGATCTGTAATAACAGCAAAAAATATTTTATTACACTATACACACATTATTTACATTTATCTATATTTTTATAAACTGTTACGAACCACTAAGTAATCCTTGTGTGTGTGTGTGGTGATAAAATCTTAGAACATGTACGCTACCACTAGTTTGTCACCTAACAGAGCAAAATACTGAACCCAGAAATACACTATGCACATGGCTATGATCACTTCGAACAGTATTATTATTATTATTATTAGACTTCTGCCACTAGATAATAAATATAAATAAGTTTCCAAGATTATTTTCTAGAAAAGAATGGTCACTTTGCATGATGTGTTGATTCACAAACCTCTGCTGTTTGCCATGAACGTTTTCCTCCTGCTGTGAACATCATTGTGTTCTCTGATATTTGAACATTGTACATAGTCTTTATTCTAGTCAAGATCATCTATGTTGGAGAATGTTTATTTTTCAATGCAATGAAATTTCACTGTCAATGTTAGGTGGACAGGAAATTCTCATAAAGTTTCAAACATTAATTGAAAGTTTCTTCTAACCTTACCGCGTAAGCCAGACGGCTCAAACAAAGTGGGACAGTACGTCACTTTTGTGAGTCAATTTCATTTCAAATTACATCCAAATTTGGCCATAGCGCGCATACGAGCAAAAAGCGATGTTATTTTTAAGAGGACGGGTTGACAATGCACCCCACTAATTGAGCACTGGTTAAAGGTACTGTTAAATCTGCAATCTTTCCAATTTTGCACTTTATTTTTATGTACTTTCTGTTAAGCTTGTATAGTGAGTGAGAACTGCTATTACATTGGATTAATTGTTCCTATCTCCATACAGAAAGAAATGGAGCCTCTGAGGGCACAAACTATCCAGTTTTACCAACAAACCAAACAACGTGAGCACATTAAGATTTTACAGCGTCAGCATATCATTGAAGAGCGGAAAGAGATGCTAGAGAACCAGAACCTGGAACGTGAAGAATCCATCCGTAGGGCTCAGGTATGATATTTGTTATAATTTTATTATAGTTAGTTTTGATTAGAAAAGGTAATACTCCATAGTAATTCAACAGCAAATGCCTTGAGACAGTAAATTAAAAAATTGGGTATGTTGAGGGTTTGTATTGATATGTAGTGTTTATATGATTCATAGTAACAAGATTATTGTGAATAACTGAACTCAATTACAGACACTAGCCTGTGCTACATGGAAAGTTTGTTCCAAGTAGTTGAATCTAAAACAGCAAAAAACAACGAATAACTGCATGTGTGCATAGTTTATATGTAGGTTATGTGAATGTGTACTAGAAAAGTATTTTCTTGTAGAAAGCATTTAGACTCCCTGCATATCAGCACACACAACTGTGTATACCGTTGAACCTGGATGCTACCCAGGACTTGGAATACCTGAATCTTTCTACTGTATTGTTTTTTGTTAATGCCAATAATCTTTGAAAAAATGGGATTCATTCCATGATAAGAATTTATTGCTTAAAACTATAGCATCAGACTTTGCAGTGAGTAATGATCTAGAGACTGCTTTGGCTATATCTAGTGGGTTGGGTTAGCAGCTCGGTTTTTTATCTGTAAATTATTTTATAAGGTAAAGTTCTTTGATCAAAACTACGTAATCATCCCATGTTGTACTATATAACTGTTTAAACTTTTGTTGGTCACTCTTGGTTCAGTCTGTGTGAGACTAGTGTTTTCCTCTCAAGTTTCTTCACTCCCTCCCTATTTTCACCAATCTTTATTAAAACAGCAAAATTAGCTTCCTATATCTGCCTCCCTCTTGTGTTGTGGTATGTCCTGACTTCCAGGACGAGCGTATGTCTTGCTTTCTGACCGTCCCTCGCGGTCACTTGTCCCTCGATAGTATTCTAGGTGAATCGGATACTTTTGATATCGTTCGCCTTATGCATTTTTGTTCTCGTATTGGCATTCTTGGTGATATTTAGTGCCTTCTGATTATTTCGCACTTTGATGGTGCTACATTGAAGAGGACGTAGGAGGACGACACGAGCCGGTCGGCCGAGCGGACAGCACACTGGACTTTTGGTCCCGGGTTCGATCCCGGACACCGGCGAGAAACAATGGGCAGAGTTTCTTTCACCCTATGCCCCTGTTACCTAGCAGTAAAATAGGTACCTGTGTGTTAGTCAACTGTCACGGGCTGCTTCCTGGGGGTGGAGGCCTGGTCGAGGACCGGGCCGCGGGGACACTAAAGCCCTGAAATCATCTCAAGATAACCATAGCCTTCTCGGTTTGGTGCCTACTTTTGATAATTACCTTACCTTGTGTTGTGGTACCTTTCTGGCTTCCCTTACCCCTTGTCTAATTTAAATCACTTTGCATTTAATGGAATTCATTCTCTTGAATGGTTAAAAATTAATATCACCTACCTACTCAGGTAGTTTTGTTAGATCCTGTTTTGTAATAACCTACAATCCCCCTCTAATTTTTTATGTTGTTCGTCAATATATAGGAGCATACCACCTTGGGTTGGTCATTTAATTATGGTAAGAATTATCAGGGGTTGTGATCAGTCGTTGTCTTTTTAAATAAAGAGTGATCTTTCACAGAGGCGTCGGCGTCTTGTTGCACCTTGAACTTGCTTTAATATTTAGTACAGCCCCCTATAATTTAAGATTATATTGTGGGCACATACATACAAGAGTGTGTAACAATTATTTAATTATCAGTACTGCTGTATTTACATCTCCAGTGTAATTTATTATTATTTACAGGATGTATAATGCTCATTCTTCAATAAAGCCTAGTTTTAGCTACCTTGTTATTGCCAGTTTGCAACTGAAATAAAGTTCAGAGAATATGTACATGGGGTATATAGTACTTGGGGTAATTCTTGAAATTGAAATTGAAATAAGTTTATTGAGGTAAAATACACACAAAGGGATGAGGTAGCTCAAGCTATTCTCACCCCATCCAGTACAACGTGTTAATATATACATAGACACACATCACAAATAAACACATTACCAAACATTCTGAGAGGTAAAATATACATTTCCTCCCTCACAAGTAGTATGGTATCAGACGTACACACAAATACTTTTATGACCTAGGTATACTGTATAGACAATTTGCAAGACACCTGCAGATAATTCAACAAAATATTACAATCTTGGTGCAAAATTCTTATATCTCTCAAGAATATCATCAACCTTTCCGTTGTGACACATCCAGGCTATTTGTTCAGGAACAGTCCTTATCTCAGTGTTTCTATATACATTAATCAACGGACAATCAAGAATGGTAATTCTTTGTTTGGAGAAGTTAATATCCTCTTGCATTCACAGGTGACAAAAGATTGGGGTTTGAACCCTGGCCAGGGAGGGACAATAAGGTACTGTTCTTTCACTCCTTACCCCTGTGCATCCAGCAGTAATTGGGGACTAGATGTAAAATTAACAGATGGTATTACAGAAAAATGTGGCACAGAATAACAGGTGGGGTTCCAGTACATGGCCTGTTCTAGATACAATACCATTATAACAAAATCATTACCTCAGAGACTTTAAACATGACTTGGTATTTATATCTGAAGTTCAGAAGATGTATGTGTATTTTCTTTCTGCACATTCAGGAGGAGCAGCTCAAGAAGCAGAAAGAGGAAGAGCAACAGCGTCTCGAACGGGAGGCTAGTCGACGTGAAAAGGCGAGGCAGGAGGAACAGTTGAAACAAATTCAAACAAAGCAAATCAAAGACAGACTCCTACAAATCTCTCAAACCTCTTATGGTCAGAAAATGATGGAGAAGTTTGACGAAGAAGTTAGTATCTGCATTATTTTTTATATTTTCTTTCATTCTTTCAAATCTCGCTCCATCAGTAGTGTAAATGGCATATTGTGAAAATATTTTAATATTGTTTATCTGCTTTATGAAAGTCATCCTTTTTTAATAGCTATTGACATGTTAATAACAGTATTGCTACCTAAGATTAACAGATGTATATGCTGCTTCAAATTGACTTTCCTTGTAGGAACTTCTTAACCTTGGAGCCGAAGAGATCCTACAGAGACAGGTAGAGGAATTGGAGAAAGAGAGAAAAGAACTTCAACAGCGCCTCAAGGCTCAGGAGAAGAAAGTGGATTACTTTGAGAGAGCAAAGAGACTGGTGGAAATTCCACTTCTAAAGAAAATGTTAGAGGATGAAAAGGTAATTAGCTTTTTGCATTATTTAAGGAAAAGTAAATTTTCCTTTGTGTGTGTTTTGAAATAGGGAATCGATTCAGTATACTGAGAGAAATTCTCACTTGCCATACAATATATCACTATTGTATGTTTTAGCCTCGACTATTAAGCTTGTTCATATTCCTGATACCTTGTTCCTTCTTGAGACTCCGAGAATCTTCCGCAAACTTCTAAAATATGCTCAGTTGTTGAAGGTTCTCTTGAACATTTAAAGCTTTTGTCAAATAATTTTGTATATAGGTTTGGCTGTCAGTCGTAGTTAAAAATATCGTTGCTAGCCAAAATTACACATAATTAACCAAGTAAAATTACATGTGTATGAACCTGTATTTGTGCGGCTGCTTTTTTTTTTTTTTTATCTTTTTCATCTCGCCTTTGTACTTATGGGTTGTTGAAATTCACTTTGGTCCTGCCTCTCGACCAACGATCAACTAGTGCACAGGTTCCTGGGCCTATCGGGATATTTCATGTTAACATTTGAAACTATGTAAGGAGTCTGCCTCTACCATATCACTTTCTAGTGCATTCCATTTGTTTAACTATGACACCAAAAAAGTTCTTTTTAATGTCTGTGGCTCATTTTGGGTACTCATTTTTCATCTGTTTCCTTGATAGTGTTCCACCTGTAGTAAATATTTTGTCTTTATCTACTGTCAATTCCTCTTGAGAACTTTGTAGATGGTAATCATGTCTCGCCTAACTATTGTCTTCGAGTGGTGTGAAGTTTAACTCTAGTATCCTTTCCTCATCACTTACACCTCTCAGCTCTGGGACTACAGAGCACCACTTGGTTTCCGAACCCCTTGGGGACGAGACCCGTCGGTTAACATGTAAGTTCGTATACGAGAAATAGAGGGGAAAAAATAAACTAGAAATGTAAAAAGAAATTTTTCCGAAAAAATTTACGAAAAAACTCTAGGGGAAAAAATCGACAGGTTCATAGCGTAAATGCGACTGTGTTTTGTTTGTACTCACCAATAAGTGAAGTCCTGATCCGCTTTATAAAAGTCCTTAATTGTTCCTAACTGATTATTAAGACGTCTGGCAAACATCCTCTGGATGTTTCCTGCCAGCCTGCAGGCACATCCTGCCTAAAATATACGATGATGTACTGTACATTTAAGAAACAAATCTGGGTCACAGGTCTGTGGAGTGTGGTTAGGCTTACGGAGTCAGCCGGTCCCTCCCCCACCACCGATACACCTCCCCCTCTCCCCCCACCCCAAACCCATACACACACACACACACTCAAAGGTCACGTGGTTCATGGTTCACTTCAACACCCATATATCGCTTCCTGCCTGCCTGCCTCCTTCCCAGCCTGCAAGCCTGCCTGCCTCCTTCCCAGCCTGCAAGCCTGCCTGCCTGCCTGCCTCCTTCCCAGCCTGCAAGCCTGCCTGCCTGCCTGCCTCCTTCCCAGCCTGCAAGTCTGCCTGCCTGCCTGCCTCCTTCCCAGCCTGCAAGCCTGCCTGCCTGCCTGCCTCCTTCCCAGCCTGCATGCCTGCCTGCCTGCCTGCCTGCCTCCTTCCCAGCCTGCAAGCCTGCCTGCCTCCTTCCCAGCCTGCAAGCTTGCCTGCCTGCCTGCCTCCTTCCCAGCCTGCAAGCCTGCCTGCCTCCTTCCCAGCCTGCAAGCCTGCCTGCCTCCTTCCCAGCCTGCAAGCCTGCCTGCCTGCCTGCCTCCTTCCCAGCCTGCAAGCCTGCCTGCCTCCTTCCCAGCCTGCAAGCCTGCCTGCCTCCTTCCCAGCCTGCAAGCCTGCCTGCCTGCCTGCCTCCTTCCCAGCCTGCAAGCCTGCCTGCCTCCTTCCCAGCCTGCAAGCCTGCCTGCCTGCCTGCCTCCTTCCCAGCCTGCAAGCCTGCCTGTCTGCCTGCCTCCTTCCCAGCCTGCAAGCCTGCCTGCCTGCCTGCCTCCTTCCCAGCCTGCAAGCCTGCCTGCCTGCCTGCCTCCTTCCCAGCCTGCAAGCCTGCCTGCCTGCCTGCCTCCTTCCCAGCCTGCAAGCCTGCCTGTCTGCCTGCCTCCTTCCCAGCCTGCAAGCCTGCCTGCCTGCCTGCCTCCTTCCCAGCCTGCAAGCCTGCCTGCCTCCTTCCCAGCGTGCAAGCCTGCCTGCCTGCCTGCCTCCTTCCCAGCCTGCCAGCCTGCTTCCTTTCCAGCCAGCCTGCCTCCCTCCCTGCCATCATGCTAACGGGTAGTGTGTGTTAGGCTTATCTTCGGGAATGAGCCGGTCTCGCCCCCACCACCAACAAACCACCCGCCCCCCTACATCCCATCTCTCAAGGTCACGCGGTTCAACCGCGTGACTACCACTCACTCCCTGCTGCGCCTGCCTGCCTGCCTGTGCCTGCCTGCCTGTGCCTGCCTGCCAGTGCCTGCCTGCCTGTGCCTGCCAGCCTGCCTTTCCCTCCCTAATTCTCACTACTTCCGTCCCTTCCTGCCTACCTCCTAGCATCTCTCCCTACCTCCCCCTCCCTCTTAGCATCTCTCCCTCCCTCCTAGCATCTCTCTCTCCCTCCCACTCCCTCCTAGCATCTCTCTCTCCCTCCCTCCCTTTCTGACTAATTCTCCCCCCCTCTCTCATACTGCCTCCCACTTAAGTTCCCTCATCCATCCACCCACTGGTCAGCCATCACTGACGCAATGCGTGCATTTGGAGCCAACATGGTGCACAGATGTTTCTTGATTGTGCAGATATGTAAAACAAAAGCACAGAATGAACATTCCAGCCTTATGGCAATTCAAAATAATAGGAATAATAGGCCGTGAATCTGTGAAGTCACAGCGGGCAAACTGGACCATCTCCCACCCACCACAACAAACCGGCGTGACGCTTGGCGGACCCCTTCCTACCCGAACTTTGTTCGGGTAGCATGACTCCCCAACCCCAATCGGGAAACTGGAAGTTTCGGATAACTAAAGTTCGGAAACCAAGTGGTGCTCTGGTGTACTCTGGTGACATACCTGTGAACTTTCTATAACTTCATCTTGAGTTTGACTAGATATTGACTCCATGCTGGAGCTGCATTCACTAGAATTGGTCTGACATGTGGTATACAAGGCTCTGAATGCTACTTTACCTTAGCTTCTAAAGGTAGTTCTTATCTTGGCCAAACCAAGATAAGAACTTCCTTTAGAACTGCCGACATGCTTTTGATGAGGGCTTTAGGGGTCAGGTTCAATGTGATATCAACCACCAGATCTTGCTTTTCTACTTGATTCTTGAAGAATTTCATCTACCACTTGATATTTGATATTGTCCAGCTTCCTGCTTTCTACGCTTATTTTCATTACTTTATACGTAGTAGAGTTAAACTGGAGTAACCATTTGTTGAACCATTCCTATGGTTTGTCCGGGTCTTCTTATCTCTTGCTAACTTCCTGTGTGTTAATTGTTCTCATAATTTTTGTATCAACAGCAAACATCGAGAGGAATGTGTGTACATCGTCTGGAAGAGTGTTTACATATATCATCAACAAGATAGATGAGAATATAGAACCTTGGGGGACTCGAGTGGGGAAATCTCCCCATTTTGAGATCTCCCCCTTGCAGTAACTCGGTTATCTGTAGCTTAATTACTCCCTTGTTCAGTAGAGCACCTTACTTGCTACTCCAGGTATTATGCACCGGCCTCTTACAGGGGTACTGTGTGTGTATATGTTTAACCACATTGCCCTGTGAATCAATGTATGATAATAACTGCACTTTAAAAGAGTTAATTAATTTTTGTGGCAGTTGCCACAAATAAAAATATATAACATGGTCAACCAAAAGATGGTCATAGCATGAATGTTTGTACATTCCATAAAAATACATTCCAGGTTCCAAAAATCTACTTGCGGCCTGCGTTTATGTATTGTGGTCAATAACTGTAAACACTAAACTAAATTTTTTTTTATGAATACTGATGTGAATTTCATCTCAAAAGCACTGCAAATTTTGTAATCGTTCGTATTCTTTTGTACTTTTAAATGGTGCATTTTTAGCCCACATGAATTTCTATGTAATCTCCAATTTTAGGTTTTGTAATATCAAGTGTACTTCCCCTATTGAGCTAAACTTTAATAATTTTTATTTCTTTTTCCTTGTCATTTAGGAGAAAGATAAGGATTTCTGGCAATCTCAAGAGGAGGAACGTGTTAAGAAGCTTGTCGAGGAACATCAGGTTAGCTTAGAACACAGCCAGCGCTTGAAGCGCATGCAAACTGATCGCACAGATTTTCTTAACCAGCTCAAATCTTCACGTCGATCTGAAATTGAGAAAAAGCTTAACGATTTTAATGCTCGTCTTGAGGTGGAGCGAAAGAAGCGTCTTTCTGAAAGGAAAGACCAGAGGTGAGTGTATGATGCAAGTGTTCCCAGTCTCTCTCATTGGTTGAATACAATTTAGTTTTAACTGCAGGGTTTTAATTTCTTGGCCTTTATCAATTTTCTTGATTCTCTTATGCTGCTTTAAATCTCGTACAAATAAGAGTGTTGACGTTTAAGAAAAACCTGAATTTTTTAACATCCCCTGCATTATATAGATCATAACATTGCTATGCACATTACAATTGATTTTTGAGGCAAGCAGGTTTTTATAAATAATTTTTTTTCAATGTACAGGTAAGTTTCATTTCCATGTAAAACTAGTAGACAGTGACAGTAAATGAGCTACCCTAATGTGTTAATTAATTTTAAGCTTTTGTGTATTTGCAGTTTCTTTTATACAATTATTTGTAAATATTTTCAGACGACGTGAACGTCGTGACACTTACTACCGTCAAAAGGCAGAAGAGGAGCAACAGCGCAGGGATGAAGAGCTGAAGAAAAAGAGAGAAGAGCAGGAGAGACTAGAAACAGAACAGAGAGAGAGGGAAGAGGCAGAATACTTTGAGCGGAAAGCACAACTGGATCGACAGGCTGAGCTTCAAAGAGGTAAGGTTCACAGAGGCAGTATGCATTTATCCATCACTGGGTCAAGTGTAATGTCTTTTGCCTTTTTCCCTCTTGTTCTGGAGAAGGTGCTTAAATTTGGAATCCTTGTCCCTTTTTTACTTGTGAAGGAACATCCAATAAATTTAGTAATTCTACAGTTTTTATGAGTATTATTCAAGTAAAACAAGCACTGGTTATTTATAGTGAAATGTAAGAATGAAGCTTTCTCTCAAGCACATACATGTTACAATTAAAATAAAAGAAAATAAAAAGCCCCTGTATATAAGAAAATGGAACAGTTTGGGTGTTCCAGGGCAGTTAATAATTCTTTATCTTCCTCTGTCTTAATTGGATAACCTGGAGAGGGTTTTGGGAGTTGTTCTACTCCCTGAGTAGAAGCTCAAGTGGCTTAAAAAAAAATTGTGCAAAGCTTGATTTTTGATATAACTAAATTTTCCAAGGGTTTAAACTACTTCAGGTATTTTTTTTTTTTTAAGGGGCTTCTTGTTTCCCTTAATCCTTAAACTGCGCATGGCGTATATATATGCCATGAGTAACATGTCCCACGGTGCACATGGCGTATATATATGCCATATGGTGCCAGGCACAATTCAAGTGGCCTGCGGCTACATGGGGTTCACATTAGGTTCCTCAGGGTTCTTGTAAACAGACGCCATGTTTAAACAAAATCGTGGGCAATATTCTCCGGTGTGAGAGCCACAGTACTGTTGGAGCAACCAAGGCTGGTGCACGCAGCATGAGCTGTTTAGCTTGTGACCACAGCATTGCCGAAAAATGTCAAAATAAAGTTGATTGTTGACCAGACCACACACTAGAAGGTGAAGGGGCAACGATGTTTCGGTCCGTCCTGGACCATTCTCAAGTCGATTGTGATGAGGAAGTAGAGACAGGCAATAAATAGGCAAGAGAGAGCTGAGGAGCAAAGTAAGGTGTAGTAGAGGGGATAGTAATAATAATAAGAGCTGCAGAGGGCCTATAGGCCCATACGAGGCAGCTCCTATTATAACCACCGAATGAGAAGGAGATAGGAATAAGAAGAGGATAGCAAGGGAGCGTAGGAGAAGACAGTGAACAGAAAAAGGGAGAAGAGAGAAAGAAAAGGAAAGAGTATTGTCACTACACCACCCTTCATCAGAATCTGTTGGTACTGGGGTACGTGTGGTACGTCTGGCTCTGGCACGAGTGGCAGTCCCAACCTCAGACTCCTCACTTTCATCACTACCCAAATCCTCATCGGCCGTCTCTTGTTTCTAAATGTCTATCCATCGTGGAGTAAGCGTAGATAGTTTCTAAAGCAGCAGTAAGAAATATAGCCACGGAAAATAGCCGAAATGTTCACACGTTTGAGACACGAGGGGAGGCGACACCGGTAACAACAGTGGAGCGAAAACAATGGGCCTACGGCGTGTGCCGCGCAGCCTGCGGGCCACGAGGCTCAACAAAGAAAATGGGAAGACATAGGCGCGTATTTTAAAACTTGTCCCAAAAAAATCTGATAAAAACTTGATTTTTGGCAATTATTTTAGTGGATGACGCAGCATTGCGTCGTCCCCGAGATTACTGACAGTAAAATGACAACGTAGCATTGCGTCGTCCCCGGACGAAAGTGTTAACAAATGGCAAAAATGTGTTTATTAACCACTTTACTGAGACTTGCCTTTTTTTTTTTTAACTAGGCTATATTTTAATGGTTTTAATGATTTAATCTATGTTTTCAAATGAAAGTGATTGAGTTTGGAAACATTTTGACATTAACTTTACCTGAACATTTATAAAAACAACAAAATCATGTCCTTAACAATTGCACTAAGAAGTTTTTGCCGAAACCAGGTGCGTATTGCGATGGTTAAACACTTTCCTGCGTGGTCCATCCTCGATGCACTATTTCCTGCAATGTTCTAGGATGCTGAGGAACTTTTATTTAAGTGGTCTTGTTATCTAACTCTAGAGGAAATAATAGTTCAGTCCACCTAAACAAGGAAACTCATTGTGACACCAAAGAGCAGAATTCAAAGCATGGCATCCTTTCCCAGAAATAATTCTAAGACTCGGGGAATTCGAGGAACTTGACGAATTACTGGTTAGCTTCCTATGTTCTGTTCTGAACAACTGCTAGATGGCAATACTGCCACCAACTGGTTCTTGGTGCCAACTAACCTTCATTATTGTGTTTTTGTTATTGAAACATGTGAGTACATGGGCAACTGTAGATACAGTTTGCAGCCATTTAGTTACGCATTCAACCATCAGAGGTCTTGAGGGACATGGTGGTCTTTAAGCACTTGGGAATCCATGTGCTCGTCTAACCTAAGCAAGAGTGACATATCACCTCCCATCTTGCCCTGTATCCTCTTAGACAGGGTATTCATGTATATTTGATGTGACGTGATAAATTATTTGTGAAAAGTATCGCCGTGAATAAATTTTTGCGAGGAGAGTACAGTGTAACAATTGGTGGCACTAGAGGGTATCTATTTATAATAACTGTTCTAATTATCTTGGTTTTCTAAACATATATTAATGCACTAGCTGTACCCAATCCACGCGTTGCTGTGGCTCAGCAACGCGTGTGCATTACTGAGCCACAGCAATCTTTTTCTGTCTCCCAGTCCTCCACACCATTCCTTCCTCTCCTGTCCCCTTGTCCTCTCATCCATTCCCCATCCCCTCGTCCTTCCCACCATTCCTGCCCTCCCTCATCCTCCCCACCATTCCTGCCCTCCCTCATCCTCCCCACCATTCCTGCCCTCCCTCGTCCCTTTGTCCATCCCCCTCGTCCTCCTAACCATTCCCCACTCCACCGCTCCCTCTGTCCCCTCGACCTCCCCTCCATCCCCTACTCCCATCCCCTCGTCCTCACCACCATTCCCCGCTCCCTCATCCAATGCATTCCCAAATGATCTGTTCCCATCAGAAAATTGGGAACATCAAATTATCTGATGTTCCCATCACTACAATATAAGAAAAACAGTAAAAAAAAAAAATGAAAAATAGAAAAAACTATACTCATGAAATGAATGGTATGGTAAACAACACAGCTTAATTCCAATGCAATGTCACACAAAATAATTCAATCAAAATGAAAATAAATTGAAATCTATGAAAATTCAATTTATCAATGCAATCGGAAACATTGAAATAGAATCGTAACATAATCAGTATAGCGAGTCTTGCTATTGAGTCCAAAAGATGGCGCTGTTTTTCAAAACAAACATGTGTATTCCATTGGAATGTCAAAATTTCTAAGCAATCTGTAAAGAACTTTCGGAGATTACAGCGTGTGTTGCTCTTACGTCCAACAGATGGTGCTTTTTATTTACTGTCACAGGTGAGGCATGTATATAGTAGATAAATAAAAAGCAAGCCTATTCGAATGCTATGTCAAAATTTCAAAGCAATTGGTAAAGTGGTTTCGGAAGATTTCCCTCACATGAAAAACACAGTTTTTCAGATTTTTACCGTCACAGACGCGACATCTATATAGTATGTATATAACAACCTGCTCGGATGCGAATGGAACTTTGTGTGAAAATTTTAAAGCGATTGGTGAAGAATTTTCTGAGATTAGCGGTTATGCACAAACGAACATTTCCATTTTTATTTATATAGATTATAATTCTTTTAGCACATTTCTGTTAAGATAAATAACAACCAAAATAATACAAATTGCATAACCTTGCTATCAATTATTCAATAATCTGGATTTTTGCTTGGATATCTGGAGTTGCCACTTAATCCATATAATTGAAGTTGCACTGTATTTCTGTCAATTGTTCATAGTAATGTATATTACTTGTACAAATATTTAAAATATAATATATGGTATGCTGTTAAAGGGCATTGCATTTTGTGCATTTTAATTTAATATTATTCATTATTTTATCAACTTATTGACTTTGAAATACAGTACTTGAAAATTCACACTTTACAATTAGAGAATGTTTATTATTTTGAATAATAAAACAAATTTTAAAACAAATTTCAGAGCGAGAGAGAGCTATTGAGGAAAAGCAGAGAATGGATGCAGGTCGTCGCGTTACTACAGAAGAGACAGGCTGGAGACGAGGTCCAGCACGAGACGACGTGAAAGATGAACCAGCTGCAGCACCCTCAGTAGCACCGACATTAGCAACGGCACCACCACCACCAGCACGTGAATCTGAAAGAGAAGGTGGTGAGCGTTCTGGCGTTTGGAAGGCTGGAGGAGGTATGACTTGAGTTTTTTATTATTATTATTATTATTAATACAATTAAGTTATTGTTTTACTATAGTAAATATTTACTATATTTCAACTTTGAAAAAAGCCAGATGGTCGTAAGTACTGAGTGTGTATGTTTTATTCCAAAAATGTTCAATTAAATGCCAAGATTGACAGTACCAATCTCCTGCCCATGTTGTGACTGGGAACAAGGACTTACTGCCATGCAGATGTTAAATACATCATCAAAGCCCAAGGTTATCCTATCCCTTCAGGTTGATATGTTGAGTCAGTCTTCCCTCACTGTCATCGTCATCAATCCCTTAGTTATTCAGATCACCTTTGTTTAGTTGGAACCACCTGTCTTAAGTAATTCCGCTTTTCCTCCACCTTCTTTCCACACTTGTTTCCTGTTCTCTCTCGGTGGCAGTTTGATAAGACAGGCTGAAATCCTTTCACCCTCTCACACTGCTCTTTCCTGACCATCTGATCTGCCCGTCCTTTTTCAAGGCACCTTATTCGACACTGCCCCATGCTGTGCCTCCCATGTCATGCAGAAGTGCTCTTGGGCTGTACACTATAAGAACTGGATCTTTACTGTTTTGGATGGCGAGTACAATTACACGAGAGAGCTGGAAGTCCTTCATCTCCACTGTTATTGTTGACAAGCCCTCTCACTCATATGTAGGAGAAAGTCCATAATGGTGAATTTGTTCAAGGCATAGTACCTGTCCTGTGGTTCTGATGTTGGTTGTGAATGAACTGGGTTCTCACTTCTCGGTTGTTATCTCCGGTACATTGCTTTTTCCTACTCTCCTTACTTATGGGCTCCTTATTGAATCTTTCCCCCTTTGGTCTTTACCACTCCACTCCAACTCGCCTATAACAATATCTACCCTCTTTGGAGTGCATGAAACAATCTGTAATTTCTTATAATGTGCACATTTGGTCATTCAGTGAAGCAGATGCCAATCATTGGATATAGCAGATTGACAAGACCACTTAAATGGAACTATAGTGTAAGTGTAGCCAAAGAAAGGAGCCATCCATAGTACTTCCAAGTGCAACAAGAGGTCAACTGATCTACTTACTGCTGTTGAATATGCAATACAGCATACTGTAATACCTGCACTTTGCACTGGTCTCTTGTCTTGTATGCTCTTAACATTTGCATTGATTGGTCAATTATTTATATATCATGGTATCTTTACAACAATTGGCTGTTTGTTTGAGTATAACAGTTTTAGCGGAAGACTATGCAATGATGTTCTCCTTAACCCATTGATGACCATTTAAGATATTCTTTGTGAAGTGTAGTTAATAGTAAAACAGTTTCTTCAAGCCCACATTATTGTTTAAACTTGCAGGAAAGTTCTACCATGTGGCTTCCAATATTTCAGGTGGGTGGAGAGAGAAGGAGCGTGAGAAATTGGATGTGTGGCGACGCAAAGAGGAAGAGGCAGAACAAGATGCAGATCCAGTACCAGTACCAGTACCAGTACCGGAACCAAGAGACCGTGGGAACCGCGATATTAGACAAGATGAGCCACCACCCCCACCAAGGGATAGAGGAAATCGGGATATCAGAAGGGATGAACCTCCTAAAGATTTCCGTCGAGAGCGTGAGGATAGGCCTGCTTTCGGCAGAGATAGAGAAGAACGTGGTGGCTTGGGCAGGGAAAGAGAGGAACGTGGTTTTGGAAGGGACAGAGAGGAGCGATTTGGCAGTGACCGTGGTGGATTTAACAGAGAACGAGAAGATCGGTTTGGCAGTAGAGATGAACGAGGCGGTTTTGGAAGCAGAGATGATAGGTAGTGTGTTGTTTTGGTGTTTTATTCTAAGAGCTGTCTGTCTACTTAATACACTTCGTTTGAGAGTAATTAAATTTTTTATAACGGAGGAGCGGTATCAAGCAGACTTGGACAAAATAAGTGTATGACTCATCACATGGCAGATGGAATTTAATGCAGACAAATTTCTTGTAAAAACCTTATTATATAAAGACACTTGACAAGAAATCATTGGTGACTGATTTTAATATTATTGTAATGCAGATGTTGATATGCTAAAGTAGTCATACATCTAGGACTAGAATTTCCTTTTAAATTAGTGTTACATCAGTTATGTCTGTATTGACTCTGGCATTTTGAATTTGAGATATTCAGAAATCTTATTAATTTTTTATTTATTCAGGGACGGTGGCAGTGACTGGCGCCGTGGACCAGCCCGTTCTGAACGAGGAGATTTTGGTCGTGAACGTGGAGGTGGTGACCGTGACTTTGGGGGTCGTGGAGACCGGGACTTTGGGGGTCGTGGTGACCGTGACTTTGGCAGTCGTGGAGACCGGGACTTTGGCAGTCGTGGAGACCGGGACTTTGGCAGTCGCGGAGACCGGGACTTTGGCGGTCGTGGAGACCGGGACTTTGGTGGTCGTCGGGAAATGGGTCGAGATGACAGGGACCGTGGCTTTGGTGGCCGACGTATGGATCCTGACGATCGTCGAGGTGGTGACCGTGCTCCAACCCGTGCAGATGAAGGAGGTTCTTGGCGTTCTGCAGCCCCTCCACCACCTAGAGAGCGGTAGGAATTCATAGCAAACTTGTTTTGTGGTTGCATATGGCTATGAGAGAAAGTGTTATTTTGTAGGTAAGAATTTCCTTTCTCCGTCAATTATTCACATAGGCTCTATTTCATGTATGTCCTGGAATTCTCTGCTGTCATCTGAAGGAAAAGATCAAATTGTCTTCAGCAAATTGCTGTTTCTCTTCATTTGTTATATTTGTTTATAACTGATAAGCTTTACTAAAGTTGAATATATGTTGATTCATTAATGAATGGGTTATGTGAAAAGGTACTGCAGTAGTGCCCAGCAGGTGGAAGGCTTCAAGGTAACACAAGAAAAGAAATATATTGACTTTTGCGGTGTGAGTATGAGGGGCAAAAATTAAGTGTCAGCAAAACAACAAAGTAAAATACAAAGTACTTTGATTACAACAAAATAAATTCCTTTAACACTTGACATTCATCTTGGCGGGTACACGGTATAATAAGAAACAAAGTACGTCAATGAAAAATAACTCTTTAGACTTGGAAAAGGATTGAGACAATTTAATACAATCAAAAAGCTACAATACTTTACCAAACACCGCAACCTGAGAATGATCAGCTGTGGCAGGTCATTAACAGCTAGAGATGTTTACAGCCTGGAGCATCTGAGAAGAGTCTATCTGTGACATTTGGGTGCTAGTATTTGTATGCTTTTTCCAGACGTTTGGGTATGATACCACAATTTTGTCAATGGGGAAAGCCAGCAGGTTCTGTCTGGGTTTCGGATTGTTGCCAGGTATGGAGGACGGTTTACTGGAAGTCGGCATCTCGTGTTACACGCTCATGTTACTTCAGTAATGTATAGTTCTTGAATTTTCATCACCATAGCTCAGATATAATCGGCCAAGACTGGATGGAAGAAGCAGGTTATCCGACTATGTAGGGTAATTATGTGACAATTGGTATCACAGTAATATTCATATTATACTGTTGTGTGTGGTGAGGAACAAAGTGAACAATGTATGACATTGGTCTGTATATATCATACATATATCATTGTACCACTAACTCATAGGCATGCTGTTCTTCCTCTATTAAGAAAAAAAAAATTTGTCCCATGTACTCTGCCCCTTGCATAGGTGTCTTACTACTATATATATGCTGGATCTAATGTGCATGGAGGTATTTTTCCACCTTTCATTGTGAAGTTCACAGAAAATATATATATATATATATATATATATATATATATATATATATATATATATATATATATATATATATATATATATATAGGGTAATTATATATATATAAAAGGAATCATTTGTACATAATTTCTGGTGGAAACCCCTACGGCTCCCTGGAGCTGTCCAGGTTGATATGAATATCCCTAATTTTGGCATCAGTTGATGTGGGTAGAATTCTAGGCCTATAGGGAAAACAACACACAAGCCAGAACCTGGCCCCCCTCAGAGAGGCACGAGGAGCAATGGCCTATAGAGTGGCACATGTGATTTTGGAGCATTCTGTTTCTGCCATCCACTGGGACAGGCCCCCAGAAAAGTAAGCGCCCCAAAACAAACACCTATTCTGGTTAAAACGACGAAAATAGACAAACGAGTGGACAGAACTCCCCAAATGAAAAAAAGCAATTGAGCATGACGTCACATGAGCCATCCCGCATGTCTGTGCAGCTTCCCCCTCCTGGGGAGGGGGAAGCCCCCAGGCCCCCACGCCAGCGTCCACACCCAAGTTCTTCGGCCGATATGAGGCATCACTGTCGTGTGGCTCCAGCTCCAGACTCTTGTGTTGTGTTATGCTTTGGTTCAATGCTGCTCTTACGGTGGCGTGCGAGCTGGGAGTATTATTCCAAGGTACTTGGGCTGCATGCGCTTAGGGTTCCCTTCCTTAACCACCGTGCTGCGCCGAGTTTATTGTGAAATTCACTTGGTGCGCATGAAATAAAGTGTTCCCAAAAAATTCTTTTTTCTTCATAAAATGATAAATTCCCTTCCCTGAACATATCTATGTAAAAATAAATGCCAAATTCCACTTACTTTGACTGTGGGGACATGGAGTGTTGTGACGTCATCAGCGCCTGGTCGCCCGTGCGTGACTTGCCCAGACATGGTCGCGCGGGCCATTCAGGCACTGGGTGTTGCCACAAATATGTTTTCAATTATTTGCTTCATGTATTTCCAATGCGGTTTTATTAGTTTTTTATCGTATATGATGCATATTTGTGTCCTTTACAATATGTATACAATAGAACATTCATAATGTTCCATGAAACTGTGATACATGTGTCAGTAATGTGTCCACAATAAATGTTTACTGTCACAATATTACCTGTTAAAAATTCACTAAAATTACAATATGTACAGTTTCACACACTATTTACACACTGTATTACACACTCAGTACTTCAGAAGTGAGTAATAATCAACGAAATAGTCCATGGTACACAGCGCGACTTCGCTCTCAGTGCACCAGGTACAGATAAATTTTCGCATCCTGTTTCTTCTTTCTGTGTGCTTGCAAATAACGCACTCACGTACACCCTTGGCTTTAGTACTTGTAGGTTGTATGTAGCCAAGCTTGTAAAGCATAAGGTAGTATTGAAAAGATTATAGGAAAAGATCAATTTGTAAGGTAGTCTTGAAAAGATCGCTTTGTATGGTCCCACACAGGAAGAGATTCAGCTAGCCTCAAAGAGTGTCCGTCAGTTAGGAAGAGATTCAGGTATTCTTGAAAATACCTGTGGAAAACACCACAAAGGAAGCCGCTAATACTGTTCATCTATGCTACTTGTATCAAATGCGTCATCACTGAACGCAGAAAACGATTCATCTATGTATCGTCTAAATAAATTGGAGATGGCATAGGATTGCAAGGGTTGACGCTCAGAGCTACAACCGGATACGCTCGCTGTATCCTCCTCATAGGTGCTGTATCACTTGCATCCGACCTTTGTGTTAGGTTCTTATTGCACCTAGCTTCACCAATATTATGACCCTTATGTTCTTCAAACAATAAGGTTTGAATTTCACCAACAGCGTTATCTTTCAACACCGCTTCGGACAGGTGTTTGGGCACCAGAGGCGCGTGTGCCACCCATGGTTGCTAATTCAGTACTAACCCAGCCAGCAGCCCTAGGGCATTCTGGGAATTTTTTCCAAAATGGCTGCCTCTCACTGGAGGTCCTAAGAGTCCATTTCGTACACAACCAACCTCGTACTCATTTAGAATTGGTACCAAAAAAATCTAGTGAGTTTTCTCGGTTGGCGCAGTACTTACAGGGCACTTAAGTGCCCTGTAAGTACTGCCCTTGTGTGGGACATTTGGGGCTTGAATCTAATTATTTAAATATTAATGTAGTAAATTAAATTACGAAGGACCACCCGCTTTTATAGTAAAGAGGGAAACTGAGAATTTCTGATCATTAGATAATTCCTAGATGAACCAGTAACTATGGATAAAATACTAGAGAATATGATCATAGAAATAATTAATGGGCTGTATAATTAAAGGAATCAAACCCTCAAACACCTACATTGGGGGGTTATTACTGGAAGTCAGTACGTCCAGGAACTAGTGTGGTTCGTTCACTAATCCAAATTATAATAATCTAATCCTATGAATTATAGTGAAACTAATGTCATTACCATGAATGGGAACATAGATTATGAATATAATAATGATAATCACAATAAACACATGTTAATCCAAAGGAATTCTGCATGTAAGTAATTTCAGAAATTTCATGAATAAATACAAAGGAATCTTAGCTTAATGATGATTCCTTTGTGTAAGCCACGACGCTTCCTCTAATTCCCTGGGCTCGGCTGGCTGACGAATGGGATAGATTAACATGGGAGAAGGCGGCAGGGAGAATTCTTCTCACGTGCTGCAAAACAAATATTTACAGTAGCAACTAATTAAACTACTGAATCTCTATGTTCAAGAAATTAAGAGTTACAGGTGATAATAGGTAATAACCTGTGGTTTGGTGTTGGCATACGTCGTCACGGTCAATCACCCAGCTACTACACTACACTTTACCGGATGCATCAAATAAAGAGAAGATACTTAGCTAATAAGGGCACTGTATAAGTTTTAAGATTGCCGAAATTCGCGTCCCAGGCTCTGGCTTCAGCCTATCCTGGATAATGGCGCGCTTCACTGGCCGGTCACGTGTAGTCAGGAACCAGATTAAAAAGGTTCCTTATGTTACACCAGCACCAGTTGAAGATATTATCTGCAAGGTTATTCACGCCTCACAGTGGCGACTTTCATCTGAGGATGGATAACGTCTACCCTGATGGCTGGGCAATGGCGTCTCCTCGTGAGTACGATACGGGTAGGTCTGCCTCAGAGCTTCCCTCCACGTGTACTGGCGAGCCTCCCTCACCCACGCCGCGTCTCGCGTTCATTAGACAAATTATCGTCATGAATATTAGTATTTCTCGCATTTATGCTTGAAATGTTGGAGACAGGACGGGTTTATTATTGAGAAGAGGGAAATATTATTATTTGCCATTTTAGTGATAGTAAACATATAAGGGAGAGGAATTAATGTCTCCATGGCATTCACTTGTGACGTTAATTTTTATTACTAGATAACTGCTATGACTCTAACGCTCTATTCGGCTTTTAGTTGGAGGTCAATTTATCTGTAATTAATTACCACAGAGAACGCCTTAGTTATAGAGAATCAAATTCAATTCTCAGATACATTGGATATAATGTGTTTATTGTAATGAAATCTGACGCAATACTGGCATCGGGTGACGTGAGAATTCTAGCCTACTGCACAGATGAAATTATTAGTACATGAGAATTCTACGTGGTGTTAATTTTACTTACTACAATAATTAGTAGAGTTAGTAATAATTAATGAGAATACAACAGTGTTGTATTCGGTGTTGGAAATTTCCAACACCTTGGGGTTTATGGTTATCTTCCACAAGTCACCTTGGGTCTACCTCTGTTGGTCTTTTGCTGCTCGACAATTGACTGCCCCTAGTGTTTGGGGGGTTTCCACCCTTGTTTACCTTGGGGGTAAATGGAAGTTTTTGCACTGGTAGGGGGCACTGAGTACTGCGCAGCAGGATTTCACCTATAACAGCGGCCGGCTCTATTCCTTCTGGGTACGCTGTCCTCTTTTGAGGCTTTTCTTTTCTTTTTCTTTTTGCCTGGTGGGGGAGGGGGGTCTGCCTTGGTGTTCCTTCTGCCCTGTTATACTATGGTTACTTTTGTTTGGTGGTACCCCCTGCTTCGGCCTCGTGAGTGGACACGTCCCAGGGGCTCAACATTAGCAGTGTTGGTTGGTAGCTTGGGCGCCGGTTAGCAGTACCATGCCTGATATTACTCTTAGCAAGCCCAGTCTAGCGGCCCTGGGAAACCCCGCGGGGTCACTCTTGTCCGATGGATGCAATCCCTGAGTTCTCTCGCTTTGTACAAGTTTGAGGGTTGCTCTGTCCTCTTGTCTTGGGGCAATGCTCATTGTTTTTGCCTCCGTCATGCTGCCTGCTGGGTCGGTGACGCATTTTACCTCGAGTCCAGCTAGCTTTGTTGCTTGTTTGTGACTCAATTCACCCAATCTATTGATAACATTCTTCGGGTGCAGGCAGCTCACGCATTGCAGGATATGTTTAGGTTGTTGTAATGTGCTAGGTTGGTTGCTTCCCCGGATGCCCCGAGGCTGCCCTGTTTTACTTACAAGGACCCAGACTTGAGGGTGTTGGTCGCGTCGGCCTTGGTTCAATCCGCTTCCCTTGTTCTTTCCCTGCTGTGGTTAGTTCAGTTCCTGTACCTCTTTCCCCCCCCCACCCCCCATAGTCAGCTGTTGCTCCAGGTCCTGGCTCACTTGGAAACTTACCAAGGGCGAGTAGTTCTCTTGGCCCCGTGGTTTTGGGCGCTGCTTGCCTGGTGAAAACTAGGTTTTTCCGTGGCTCCACCTTTGGACAGATCGGGCTGGTCCATTACGAGACTGGTTCACTCTTCTCGAGTCTTCGCGTTTGGTGTTTCTTACTCAAGTTTATCACCATCTGTATGTGATCTGGGGGCTTTGTCTCGGCGGCAGTATGAAGTTTCCTGGCGGTCCTTCCGTTTCTTTTTGACTCTGTTGTTGTACTTCGCTTTTGGTTCAGTTGTTGTCCTCTCTCTCGCGGTTGTTCCAGGACCGTCATCTTATGCCGAATACTGTCGCCTCATATCGTGTGGCGCTGGCGGAGCCACTGCAGTGTGCTTTCGGTATAGATATTTCTTCTGCGCCGTTTCGCAAGCTGTCTTGTGCGTTGTTTCGCCTCCAGCCTGCTCATGTAGGCCGGAGGGGAAACAACGCGTCCAAAGACCAGGATGGCTCCACCTGAGCTGTCCTGGTCTTTGGACAGAGTGCTCTCCTATCTCTCTTCTCATCAGTTTGTTGTGGCTCCTTCGATTCAAGATGGTTTTTCTAAGGCTCTTTTTTTTTTTTCCTGTTGGCATTGGCCTCTGGGGGTCGGGTTGGGGAGCTTTATGCTCTCTTCCGTCACAGAGGTGTCTGCTCTTTTGGTCATGGTGGTAGGTTTGTTCGTCTACAGCCAGCTGCTCCTTTTCTGGCGAAGAATGAGACTGCTGCTTTCCGGAGGGGTCCTTGGGTTGTTGATGCTTGGTTGGTCCGGCCAGGGTTGCATCATGTGTTGTGTCCGGTTGCTGCCCTTCGCCGTTATTAGCGCACCACGGCTTCTGTGTCTGGAGACGCGCTTTGGGTTGATCCGGTTTCCCTTCTTTCCTATTTGCAGGTACGGGTCTCTCAGGTCGTCTGCAGAGTTATTAAGTTTAGCCAGCCTGCAGTTTATCCTCATGCCCATGACATTCGTAAGTTTGCTGCTCTTGCTGCCGTCTTTGGTAACATGTCCTGGGCTGATATTTGGGCATGGGGTTTTTGGCGGTCGAACAGGATCCTGGCTGCAAGCTACCTCCTTAACGCTCCTTGGCCTAGTCGGGCCTGTGTCGCTTTGGGTCGGCAGCTGCAGCCTGTCTTGACTTTAGGTTGAGATGTGAGCACCGACCACCTCCCGGGTAAGTCCCCTTTCTTTTTCGTCTTTTTTGAAGTAGGTCCGGGGAGCCATAGGTGCTCTCCTCAGAAAACCAGCGTTGAATGTAATGAATGGCCATTTTCTGGGCAAGTCCCTGAGGCTCCCTGGCAACCCTCCCTCCCTCTGGTCAGCGGCTTTTGCGTATTTTGATATCTAGTCTCAGAACTGGGGTGTGGATTGCTGGTGCGGGGGTCTGGGGCTCCCCCTTCCTCCTCCCTGGGAAGAGGAAGGGGGAGCTGCACAGACATGCGGCACGGTACATGTGACGTCATGCTTGTTTGCTCATTTTCATTTGGAGAGTTCTGTCCACTCGTTTGTCCATTTTCATCGTTTTAACGAGAATAGGGGTTTGTTTTGGGTCGCTTACCTTTCTGGGGCCCTGTCCCGGTCGACGGCAGATATAGAATGCTCCAAAATCACGTGTACCATTCTATAGGCCATTGCTCCTCGTGCCTCTGAGGGGGATGCCAGGTTCTGGCTCGTGGTCCCTGGTGGACCTAGAACTCCACCCATATCAACTGATGCCAAAGTTAGGGATAATGGCATTTCATTACATTCAACACTGGGTTTTTTCCCACAGGCCACGAATTGAAGAACGTGAAAGGCGTGTCCCAGACGAGAGGCGATCAGTTGCTGTTGAAGAGAAACGCCCAAGTGCCTGGCGTTCTCGTGAAGAACGTAAGGAAGACGTCCCAGAGGAAAAACCAAGGGTACCTCGTGAAGATGCAGATGATGATGGCTGGACTACTGTTAGACGTTGAGAGAAGCTTCTGATATAGTTTCATATCTGCAGAAATATTCTTGCTCTCAACATGGAGATAGTTTTATATTAACAGTGGAAGAAATGTTGAATTTAATCATTTCTTAATTAATAATGGGGGTAATTATTGTTCAGTATAAGGCCTTTCTTGGTGCTGCCGTAAACTTTGTGGCTGTTCTTCTGTGAAGGATCTAAATGATTACTACTGTAATGAAAGTCCAGAACTGATTTGGTACCAAGTTAAAGGTTTTTTTTTTTCTATAATTTGTGTTAGATAATTTTTCTTCTATGAATTTATGTATGTGCATACATATACTAGTATATCCAAATGTGTGTCTCAAACACAAACACACACACACACACACACACACGCATGCATACATATATATGTATATGTACTGTATATATAATAAACTCAGACTACTGTGGCAAATATAAAATAAAATGCCAGAGCATAGCTCAGGACACCTTTAGTCAACATTTTATTTGAGTCACCAACTTTCTCAAATGGTTCCATTAATGGAAATGACATGTTACACAGAGTACTGTGTACTAATAGGTGCATGGTTACATGCTAATTCAGTGCTTCCCTAAAGCCTTGGCAATTTTTCAAAAATGGCAGATCAATTATTCTGCTTTTAGCTGTCAAGATTGGTTCCCAGCATTTGCACCTTATTTACGTTTTTCGTGTATCAATATAAAAAAATTGCACGTTCACCTCAAAACAACCTCCACCTTCCCAACATTACAGTTCGTACCTCTTCTATAGTTACCGGTACATCACCTGTTGAGTGCTCTTACACTCGCTCTGTACTGTGAATACCAAGGTCGGCGTTCAATCCCCGACCGTCAAAAGTAGTTGGGCACTGTTCCTTCCCCCGCCTCCCATCCCAAATCCTCATCCTGGCCCATTTCCAGTGCTATATAGTCTTAATGGCTTGGCACTTTCCTCTGATGGTTCCCTCCCTTTCCTCTTATTGCAGTCTATTATCCTCAAGAGTAATTTCCCCGCCTACATTTATTGTCTCGTATAATTTTCCCCCTTTACTATCTGTAACATTACCATTCATCAGTGTACCTGCTACACTTTTCTTATTTTCACTTTGTGAGGGTCTTGTTGAATTTTTTGTCCATCTTGTTTGCTGGTTTTTGTTTAATCTTCACATATCTTTGTGTAAGGGGGGTTCAGGTAACTATTGGAGTAGCAAAAATGAGAGTAATAGTGTCCCAAGCTGTGTGATACAAGGTCTTTTATTATTATTATATAATATATATATATATAATCACACACACACACACACTGTACATTCATACACACATAGTACTATCTAATATTGATAAAATCATAAATGTTAGCCATAAAATTTATATAGATTTTTGGATGCCTCATTTTTTCGTTCTCAAGGTTTATTATAATTAATATTGTTTCCTTTGCAGTAACATGTCCTTTTTGTTATACTCTTTGTCATACCTATTCTGGTATTGCATATTTTGGCTTGACAATGTGAAATATTATTGTAGTCATCGATATATTATCAATAAAAGGTAGTGGTCTATTTTTGTCCTTTACTATTTAATCCTAATATGGTTAACCCCTTTAATGGTGATACTCCTTGTTGACTTCCCTTATTTTCAAGATGTTCAAGTGTAGAAGAAGGATACTGTCCCCCATATGATGGCTAAATTGAAGATGGTAAGGATACTTTTTCAATCCACATATTAACATTATTTAAAATGTGATGTAGATGGTGGCTTTTCTTGTACAAGTTTACCAACCTAGGGTGTCTTGGAGACTAGAAGCTGCCCCTATGTATGTGGTAACTAAACAGCTGGTATCAGTAAACAAACATTAGTATTAAATGTGAGCAAAAGTGTATGACATTGCATACAGCAAAACAAGTAGTAGTGATTTCTGGAAGTTAAATATAGCAGAATGCTTAAAAAAAATTAGGGCAGTTCGTGTAAGGTGACCCTGGTGTAAGGGTCACTTTAAAGGGATATTTAGTGCATATTATATGTATTTAACTAACTTTCAAATATTAAAATTCAAAGAAATCACACTGGCATAATATATCAATGAGAGAATCATTCGTGGCAATGAGGTAACTTGAACCAGCATTTTCTTTGTGTTCTGAAGGTGTGTTGTAAGGTTGGGAACACCATAACTCACAGGCCAGAGTGTGTGCAGGCCATTCATAAAATCCTGGCTGTAGCACCAATAGGGACCTCCAGACCTTTGCAGCCATAGTAGTTCCAGGATGGCTGGTTTTTGTACTATAATGGCAGAGTGGATTAAGGTGACTGTCTGGGATTCACTGGCATGCTGATTCAACTCGTCTCATTGCCTCAAAGGATTTTTTTATTAGAATTCATATACTTGTAATTGGTTATAGAAAATTACAAAATTTATGATAAAATCATGCTTTCTACAGTACCTTAGTGCTTACCTAGCAGTAATAGCCAGGTCTTGTTTGGTGATGCATTAAATAGGTATCCTTTATTATTTGTATTTTTTTTTTAATTTTGAATCTTGTTAGTTTCTCAAACGGGGTTTCCTGGGGCCCCAGGGCTTAGTGAGAGGTTACTAAGGGTTCCACAAGAGATAGTAATAATAAAAGATGATTATCCTGCCATTCATAGGAAAGCAATAAGTATACCGCTGCAATTTTCAACTTCTTACATGTGAGAAGGTTTTTCTCATTTAACCAGTATCGAGCAAAGATAAATCATCTCCTTTCGGTTGAAACTGATATCCATGTGTGTACGGTATATCTAAAGTTCAATCCCCCAATATTTGTGTTCCAAAGATAAGCACAGGTGTCACAGAGAAGTAAAGTTCATTATCTAAATTGGCTAAAAAAATGTCGTGACCCACATGTTTGTATTGCCTTGATTTATCGTATGCTTTTTCAATGTGGTCAATGTTTATTTTTTGTGTTTACAGATATGGTTGATTTTTTTGTTCGATTAATAAGTGTAAATTTGTTTGATTAATAAATATATACTGTATGCAGGGGTTTACATAATGCAGGGGTTCCATGAGACAAATTATTTCAAGGGTAAAAAGGCTGAGAAACGCTGCTCTAGACCCTAGATTAATAAAAATTATATATGCATTATAGTTTGTGTTGCTGAGTATACAGAAGTTTATGAACATTTAATAATTATTCATCATAAAAATTATGGGTGCATTAGCAAATTTATCTTATAGTTATAAATGTTAAATAAGTCAAAATACATTCCGAAGTATATATAGTATTGTTTTTTAGATATATGAAGCAAAGATTATGGAGAAGACTTGAGTTCATTGAAAACTGGTGGGTCAGACAACTCATAATGAAAAGAAAGGAATTGTATTTTAAATAGGCTCTTTGTATTTACTACATACCATCTTATGACTGCACTAACAAGCACAAGTCTGGTACTGTAGTGACGACGACAACGCGAGTAGTGGTTACTAAGTTATTTATCAAATATAAAAGTAAAGCAGGATGCCATTAAAAACAATGCAGATCGGACAGTAAGGTGGGAATCTTGTTGTTGACAGCTGGAAAATATCTATAAATCTGTTAATGTTCTGTAACTTTGTGTTATATAGCTACACTAGGTTACTACCACCACCTTATAATTACTTAACAAGTTAACCTCTTAATTTGGTATTTCAATTGGTGAAATAATCTGACATGCTTATGTCTTATTCTGAAGACATAAGAATGTCAGATTTCCATTCAAATGAAGGTTAGCATTAGAATAATGTATAAACAAAGAGCACCGCCAACTGTGGAAAATCTTTGTGCACACAATGTGCTTTTGTTTTCAGAATTAATTACATTATGGGCACATCCGATCCCACGACCGTCGTCGCCCCTAAATCAACACAACAATTACATTATTTAACTATGTACTGAGAGTTAATATTTCATGAACATTACTAGGAATTGTTAACCTTATGAACAGTATATATTAATGGGAATTATTATTATTATATAAAGAAGTGAGAATTACTAATCGTTTATATAGGACTGGGAATTTCCCTCTTGAACATTTGGAAACTTGTGTTAACAAGATGCTTCCCGCAACATGCTGCTGGAGTGACAAAGGCTAGATGGAAGACCTCGTAGTTATTGCCTCACTAGAGTTGACCTGGCACCATCTGCAGTAGACATGACCGTAAGAGTTTTGCTGGGCTTTGTACCACATTGGTGTGGCCTTCACTCAGATGCCTCTGCTAAAGAAGCCATTCATGCCTCGACCCTCCCAGACGCGAATTCCTTCTTCCTATTTCTGCTGTCTATTTATAATGTGATACAATATTGATGGATGGTTAGTTACTGTGAATAACAAATTGCGTATTATCAAATGTGGCCTTCCTCCTGTCACCGAAAATGGAAAGTAAGAAACGTCTATGGGTAGGAGCATATTGCCCATATAAGATTAAATCATGGTCAGTTAATATAACAGACCTACATTAAAGATATATCTACATTTTCCATTTCAGAGCTGGGAAATTTACAGCCATATTTTTTCTGCATGCATAGTGATCCGCTTAAACTACAGGGACTAACTGTTAACTACTCATGGAATGGCGATCAGAGATTATCTAATGTACACAAGGAAAACGCTGGAGGGTCAGGTTCCAGACCTGTACAATAAAAGTACAACATACTGGAGAGAGATGATAGGAAGTGTAAAATGTATCTAAAAGTAGGTGCCATAAATCTGCCTACAAATATAAACAAAATATCGTTGGAACAATGATGGATGCTTGTAAGAAAGAAATGGACTAAGTTTCTCTTGACGCTTGATCGGCCTGTCTTATGTCAGTGTGGGTCTTTGGGGTACGAAGACAGCTTCACAGACCAGGGAAGGCTGCCAGAGTAGAATACTAGTTCAAAATTGAAATTTGCCTTGCTAAAATCCTTGGTGAATCTGCTTCCCTTTGACACTGCTTATTGCTCATAGTCTCCCCGGCTTTGCGCCTTTTGATAATTACTTCACACTGCTTATCTTAATTATGCCTATGCTAGTGTTTTGGTAACCTCAATGATATCTAGGTATTACGGAATATTCTTATTAAATAGTATTTATAGCCATCTTGGCTTAGCGTTCTCTTTTACTATTTATTATTTACTGGTTTACTATTAATATTACTACTAACGTGCTGTTGCTACTGCTACTTCAACTACTACAAGTGATACTGCTGCTTTTGGTACAAACGTTCTGCTGCAGATATATTAATATAAAAACTACACTTTTTTTTAGACACTTTACACTTTACTATCAACTATAATGACATTGCAGGTATGGAATATTTGATGATAGCGGGTGACACTGCCGTTCCCGCCCCTTGAACCCCGGCTGGGGACATCCCTCAACAGATTAATTTTATTCGATATCTGCGTTTCCCACAAAGGTCTCAAGACGGCTTATTGTCAACCTGAAACCTTACAAGTACCAGTTAGCTCTTGCTCATTGACCTCACTGCTGACTATCCTCCACCACCCAGGCGGCTGACCTGGGATCTTCAAGGCTCAGGGAAGGTAGGTAAAGGGGAGGAATATGATGCAGGAAAGAGAGTGTGCAGGGGAGTACAAGGGAAGCAAAAGTCTAGCCGCCCCGAATAATCTATTAGCACTCATAAGCATGTCCAACCCTATTAGCATTAGGGTTGGACATGTTTATGAGTGGGATTGAGTGGTTAAAGATGGGAGCTGCCTCATATGGGCCAATAGGCCTTCTGCAGTTACCTTTATTCTTATGTTCTTATCTTTGGATGTGTTTAAGATGTTAAGTAGACATCACAGGGAAAGAGGATTTAGCAGCTCGATCCTAATTATATCCCCAAAAATTACTTAGGCTATGAATGTACACTTGTGTGTACTCACATGTGATTGTAGGATGAGCTATTGCAATAACCTATCTCTTGCTTCTTATCATACCTACTTCTGAAACTATATGGAGTTAGCCCCAACTATACCTTTCCTTTTAGCTCATTCCACTTACTATTCCTTACTATACTTACACAATAAATGTTTTCTTACATCCCAATGGCTCATCTGAGCTCACTTTTACCCCGTGTTCATGTCGAACATTTCGGTTCTATCCACTTTGTCAGTTCCTCTAAGACTCTTGTATGTCGTAATCAACATCTGAACCCAGTATGTGCTGCTAACATTTCCACTACAGCTCACCGGATGGGTATGGGGTATATAATAAATGAACTAAATTAAACTTCTGGCTTATCATATTTCCGTTGGACATAATTTCTCTTCCATAAAGCCACATGGATGTTTCTCTACATACCTAATTCTCTCTAGGTGCTTAACTATATCTTATCCTTATTATTCATTCCAAAATTATGTGTACTCACCTAGTTGTGCTTGCGGGGGTTGAGCTCTGGCTCTTTGGTCCCGCCTCTCAACAGTCAATCAACTGGAGTACAGATTACTGAGCCTACTGGGCTCTTATCATATCTACATTTGAAACTGTGTATGGAGTCTGCTTCCACCACATCATTGCCTAATGCATTCCATCTGTTAACTACTTAGGCTCTTACTCACTAACTAGGCTCTTACAAGTCAAGCCTGGCTTCGGGCTGGGCTTGGGGACTAGAATTCCCAGAACCCCTATCAATACTCTGACAATGAAAAAGTTCTTTTTAGCATCCTTGTGGTTCATTTGGATACTCAGTTTCCACCTGTGTCAACTTATTCGTGTACCACCAGTGTAGGTGTGTATGTGTATTCACCTAGTTGTGCTTGCGGGGGTTGAGCTCTGTTTTTTCGGCCCTCCTCTCAACTGTCAGTCAATCAACTGCTACTAACCATTAATTTTTTTCACACACACACACACACCCAGGAAGCAGCCCGTAACAGCTGTCTAACTCCCAGGTACCTATTTACTGCTAGGTAACAGGTGCATCAGGGTGAAAGAAACTCATCCCATTTGTCTGCCGGCGTTGGGAATCGAACCCGAGCCACAGGATTGTGAGTCCCGTGCGCTGTCCACTCAGCTACCAGACCTCTTTTGTGCGTGCGTGCCTGCGTGCGTGCGTGCGTGTATGTGTGTGTAATTACCTAAGTGTAATTACAGGATGAGAGCTACGCTTATGGTGTCCCGTCTTCCCGGTACTCTTTATCATATATCGCTTTGAAACTAGTGACTGTGTCGGCCTCCACCACCACAATTAACTTGTTCCAACCTTATATCACTGTTTGTCATAGTGAACTTTTTAATGTTTTTTTCGGCAGCTTTGTTTCCTTGGAATGTATGACCTTGAAGTTTGAGACTTCAAGATTTCTTCTTTATCAATTGTGTATATTCCTGTTACTATTTTGTACATGATTGTAATTCATTGTGACGGGGGACAGGTAGCCAGTGTATATATATACACATTAGGTTTATATCGAGGTCACCCACCCCCAGAGGTGGAACTACTGACCCTCCCCAAGGATGCAACCACACAACAAGCTGACTAACTCTTGGGTACCTATTTACTGCTGGGTGAACAGTGGCATTAGGTGATCGGAAACCACTCCCAATCATTTATGTCCTGCCCGGGATTTGAACCCGGAATTCCCGATTGTGAGTTGAGAAGGAACCCGGCTGCTACTGGGACCCTCCACAATGATCATAGCGCCTCTTTATTCTCTCTCTTATAGTTCTGGCATATTTGTGTGTTTAACTTAATTGTATTTCCGGGGATGAGCTGCGGCTCTTGGATCCCGCCTCTCGATCCTTAATCGATTGGAGTATAGGTCCACAGCTCTGTATCATGTATGTGTGTTTAAGGTGTATGGAATTGGCCGCAACCACTTCACTTCTAAGGGACCTTCCTAATGGTCAGTATCCTGCCACTGAAAAATTCCGTACATCTTTGTGATCCATTTGATTAAATTTCCATCTGTGTCCTTTTGTTCGTGTATTACCCATGCTAAATAATCTGTCCTGTCTTTTCTCCTGAGCATTTTGTATCTGGTGAGCATGTCTCCCGGTAGTGAAAAGGGTTACAGAGGCACATCATGGGTTTAGGGTCTGAACCCCACAATTCATTTAGCTAAGCAAATTACAATCTTGATAGCTAATTACACAATTCAATGCACATCGTCACATCATCAATGGGTTCGAGATCGACCACAAGTATAGTTTCTAAATTAAGCAACTGACATATGTGGAGAGCTAGTGTCACAATTGATATGTTTGTCCTGCACACCGCCCCCCATCCAGTGGGCAGCGGTGGATAGGTTACAATCACTTAGTTACTACCTACAGTTAGCAAACTGGGGATATTTGGCTAAAATTTCTAGTAGCAGATCATTTTGAATGAAATATTTGCACTTCGTTGGAACATTGGTTATAGAATTGTCTCTGAATTCACGTATCTTTTCGCACTCCATCACATAGTGACGGAGGGTGTGCGAATAATTTTGTTGACACAGTTTACATTTGGTCAGGTCTACATCGGCAGATAATGAGAATTCCCAGAGATACTTGTAACCGAGTCTAATTAAGCCGAGCAGTAGTAACATCTAGAAGTCTGCTGATTTTATTGGATGATCCAAAGATGTGTGGCTCCTCTTGCATGATAGTATGATGATAGATGGAATTACTGGTGTCGATTTCACTTTGCCTATAGAAGAGTTCTTATTTTTTATATATCTTTGTCATGTCTCCTCTCTCTCTTGCGTCGTCATATTTTTGTTTTTTAGATACATAAGAGTTCTATACCATTGTTGCAAATTTCTCAACATTTTGTAGTTCCTTGTGTGTGTATTTTAAGATGGGGCTCCACGATGGGGCGGCGTACTCTTAAACGGGTTTCACATTGGCGGTGTACAGCGATCAAATGCCTCCTTATTTAGATTCCTGAATGATGTTCTGACTTTCGCTAGTGAAGAATATGCTGCTGACGTTATCTTATTTATATGAGCCTCTAGAGTAAGGTTTGATGTTATGTCCACTCCCAGGTCCTCTTTAGTCTTGTGTATACTTAGTTGTGCTTGCGGGGGTTGAGCTCTGGCTCTTTGGTCCCGCCTCTCAACTCTCAATCAACTGGTGAACAGGTTCCTGAGCCTACTGGGCTCTATCATATCTACATTTGAACCTGTGTATGGAGTCAGCCTCCACCACATCACTGCCTAATGCATTCCATCTGTTAACTATCCTGACACTGTGCGCGAGCGCACGTACACGCGTCGTGTGCTGGTGTAAAAGGCAGCCTAAACCTTCCTTGACACACTCCTTGTGTTTACTCTCCGTGAGAACTAGCAGCTGTTGTGGGGGTGAGGAGGGGGGAGGGGGCAGAGTTGAGGAGGCTGTGGGAGTGTGGGTGAAGGGGAGGGGGTGGCTGTGACAGCGTGGGAAAGGGGGAGTGGGGGTGTTGGGGAAACAGTGGCAGTGTTGGGGGAAGGGGCAGTGTTGGGGGAGGGGGGCAGTGTTGAGGAGTCGAGGAGCCAGGAGGGGGGGGGTGTAGGCCAGTAAAGTGAAGGGGGTGCTGTGTTTGGGGGTGTGGGAGGGGGGGGGCAGGCTGTAGTTTAACAGCGCTTCACAGTGAGGCCGAGTAAGCAAACACATCCTACGTCTCAAGGTTTCAGAGTTTTGATGTAATATAATAATTTTAGTGGTTTATTTACACTTTGTTATGGGTGTTGGTGGAAGGGTTACAGAGGACTCCAATTCCTGTAAAGTGAGTGGAGAAGAAGCACACAAGTTTGACCTCTTCCATACTGTGTTATTTAAGAGAGCAAAGAGAGAAAGGGCAGCGTGAGGAGTTAGAAGACGGAGAGACATATTTCTTCTAAGTAAAAGAAATAATTCTAAGAAAATAAGTCTTCTAAGAAATAATTATGAAATGGCCCCACTCCCCAGTGCAACTTTAACTATATTTTGCATAATGAAGACCTTATCAAAATGTGTAAATCATTCACCATACAGCCAGTCCTCTGTTTAAGGTAGCCAGCTGCCGTCCATTTGAGGTAGCCAGCTGCCGTCCATTTGAGGTAGCCAGCTGCCGTCCATTTGAGGTAGCCAGCTGCCGTCCGTTTGAGGTGGCCAGCTGCCGTCCGTTTGAGGTGGCCAGCTGCCGTCCGTTTGAGGTAGCCAGCTGTTGTCCGTTTGAGGTAGCCAGCTGTCGTCCATTTGAGGTAGCCAGCTGCCGTCCGTTTGAGGTAGCCAGCTGCCGTCCGTTTGAGGTAGCCAGCTGCCGTCCGTTTGAGGTAGCCAGCTGCCGTCCGTTTGAGGTAGCCAGCAGTCGTCCTTTTAGGAGATTGTCCTGTGGAGGGCTTAGTTGACTCTGAGGTAATTCACACTGAAGGCTTCCAGTCCCCTGATCAATCAGGCTGTAACTCATACGTCAGACTGCGAGCAGCCGCGACCAACAGCCTGGTTGATCAGTCCAGCAACCAGGAGGCCTGGTCGACGACCGGGCCGCGGGGACGCTAAGCCCGGAAGCACCTCAAAGTAATCTCAAGGTAACCTCCCCGACAATGGGAAACCATATACAAAATGATACGAATACTCAGGTAGTAGACAAAAACAATTCCAGTTGATTGCAAAAAATATAATGATATCTTTCTGTTAAAGACTTGGTGACGGCGCAGAGTTGTGGGTTATGTGTACCTTGCTCGACCAGTCACGTTGGGTCTGGCCAGTACTGGAAGAGTGACTGGCGGGACAACCTCGACCCCTGGTCAGGGGGACCTCGAAGTGCCTAACAGGGTTCCTTTCCCTTTCTAGGCCACTAGGGATGGTGGCCCTCAGGTGAATTCAGGTATAATTCGTTTCTCCTCTGCTGCCCTCAGGATGGCTGTGGGGTCCATAATGAACTATTTAAACTAGTTTTGGGACAGTGAGCCGCATGCAACCACAGTCTAGACAGCCTTGGTCGGCGTACAGCTTACAGATGTACCATGACGCTCACTGTCTGACCTATATAATTTATCTTTAACCTTGACCTAAAAGTCACATGTTACGACGCTCACATCAAAGTGCACTTTGTTGTTATCATCTTCCAATATTACACCACAGATTTGTTCCACAGTGATCGTCAGCTAAGCATATAATTGTCAATACATGTAAGTTGTGCACGGTGGCATTCCCTAAGGTTAAAGCTTTAAGAGCACTGTTTACATTGCCTTCACCGTGCTTGGGTAAACACCGCGACCTGAGAGAGGAGCCGTCGGGACCACACTTCAGCTTGTCGGGAGAGTTGTGTGGGTGTGTAGCGACGCACTAGTTGTTATTGTGGCCTGTACACACTAATTCTTATTTTCGACTTACAATCGGGAATTCCGGGTCCATGAGGGGCCCACAGTCTGTAAGGTGCCCACAATCTGTGAGGTGGCCCCAGTCTGTAAGGTGCCTACAGTCTGTGAGGTGCCCACAGTCTGTGAGGTGCCCCCCAGTCTGTAAGGTGCCCACAGTCTGTTAGGAGCCCACTGTCTGTAAGGTGCTCCCAGTCTGTAAGGTGCCCCCAGTCTGTGAGGTGCCCAAAGTCTGTAAGGTGCCCACAGTCTGTAAGGTGCCCCCAGTCTGTGAGGTGGCCATAGTCTGTAAGGTGCCTCCAGTCTGTAAGGTGCCCACAGTCTGTAAGGTGCCCACAGTCTGTAAGGTGCCCACAGTCTGTAAGGTGCCGACAGTCTGTAAGGTGCCCACAGTCTGTAAGGTGCCCCCAGTCTGTGAGGTGCCCACAGTCTGTAAGGTGCCCACAGTCAGTGAGGTGCCCACAGTCTGTAAGGTGCCCACAGTCAGTGAGGTGCCCCCCAGTCTGTAAGGTGCCCACAGTCAGTGAGGTGCCCACAGTCTGTAAGGTGCCCACAGTCTGTAAGGTGCCCACAGTCTGTGAGGTGCCCCCCAGTCTGTAAGGTGCCCACAGTCTGTAAGGTGCCCACAGTCTGTAAGGTGCCCCCAGTCTGTAAGGTGCCCACAGTCTGTAAGGTGCCGACAGTCTGTAAGGTGCCCACAGTCTGTAAGGTGCCCCCAGTCTGTAAGGTGCCCACAGTCTGTAAGGTGCCCCCAGTCTGTGAGGTGCCCACAGTCTGTAAGGTGCCCACAGTCTGTAAGGTGCTCACAGTCTGTAAGGTGCCCCCAGTCTGTAAGGTGCCCCCCAGTCTGTGAGGTGCCCACAGTCTGTAAGGTGCCCACAGTCTGTAAGGTGCCCACAGTCTGTAAGGTGCACACAGTCTGTGAGGTGCCCACAGTCTGTGATGTGCCAACAGTCTGTGAGGTGCCAACAGTCTGTAAGGTGCCCACAGTCTGTGAGGTGCCCCCAGTCTGTAAGGTGCCCACAGTCTGTAAGGTGCCCAGAGTTTGTAAGGTGCCCACAGTCTGTAAGGTGCCCACAGTCTGTGAGATGCCCACAGTCTGTGATGTGCCCACAGTCTGTGAGGTGCCAACAGTCTGTGAGGTGCTCACAGTCTGTAAGGTGCCCACAGTCTGTAAGGTGCCCACAGTCTGTAAGGTACCCACAGTCTGTGAGGTGCCCCCCAGTCTGTGAGGTGCCAACAGTCTGTGAGGTGCCCACAGTCTGTAAGGTGCCCACAGTCTGTAAGGTGCCCACAGTCTGTAAGGTGCCCACAGTCTGTAAGGTGCCCACAGTCTGTAAGGTGCCCACAGTCTGTGAGGTGCCAACAGTCTGTGAGGTGCCCACAGTCTGTAAGGTGCCCACAGTCTGTGAGGTGCCCACAGTCTGTGAGGTGCCCACAGTCTGTGAGGTGCCCCTCAGTCTGTAATGTGCCCCCAGTCTGTAAGGTGCCTACAGTCTGTGAGGTGCCCACAGTCTGTAAGGTGCCCACGGTCTGTGAGATCCCCACAGTCTGTGATGTGCCCACAGTCTGTGAGGTGCCAACAGTCTGTAAGGTGCCCACAGTCTGTGAGGTGCCCCCCAGTCTGTGAGGTGCCAACAGTCTGTAAGGTGCCCACAGTCTGTAAGGTGCCCACAGTCTGTGAGGTGCCAACAGTCTGTGATGTGCCCACAGTCTGTAAGGTGCCCACAGTCTGTGAGGTGCCCACAGTCTGTGAGGTGCCAACAGTCTGTGAGGTGCCCACAGTCTGTAAGGTGCCCACAGTCTGTAAGGTGCCCACAGTCTGTAAGGTGCCCACAGTCTGTGAGGTGCCCACAGTCTGTGAGGTGCCCACAGTCTGTGAGGTGCCCCTCAGTCTGTAAGGTGCCCACAGTCTGTAAGGTGCCCACAGTCTGTAAGGTGCCCAAAGTCTGTAAGGTGCCCACAGTCTGTAAGGTGCCCACAGTCTGTGAGGTGCCCACAGTCTGTGAGGTGCCCACAGTCTGTGAGGTGCCCACAGTCTGTGAGGTGCCCACGGTCTGTGAGATCCCCACAGTCTGTGAGGTGCCCACAGTCTGTGAGGTGCCCACGGTCTGTGAGGTGCCCACAGTCTGTAAGGTGCCCCCAGTCTGTAAGGTGCCTACAGTCTGTGAGGTGCCCACAGTCTGTGAGGTGCCCACGGTCTGTGAGGTGCCCACAGTCTGTAAGGTGCCCACAGTCTGTAAGGTGCCTACAGTCTGTGAGGTGCCCACAGTCTGTGAGGTGCCCACGGTCTGTGAGGTGCCCACAGTCTGTAAGGTGCCCACAGTCTGTAAGGTGCCTACAGTCTGTGAGATCCCCACAGTCTGTGAGGTGCCCACGGTCTGTGAGGTGCCCACAGTCTGTAAGGTGCCCACAGTCTGTAAGGTGCCTACAGTCTGTGAGGTGCCCACAGTCTGTAAGGTGCCCACAGTCTGTAAGGTGCCTACAGTCTGTGAGGTGCCCACAGTCTGTAAGGTGCCCACAGTCTGTAAGGTGCCTACAGTCTGTGAGGTGCCCACGGTCTGTGAGGTGCCCACAGTCTGTAAGGTGCCCACAGTCTGTAAGGTGCCTACAGTCTGTAAGGTGCCCACAGTCTGTAAGGTGCCCACAGTCTGTGAGGTGCCCACAGTCTGTGAGGTGCCCACAGTCTGTAAGGTGCCCACAGTCTGTGAGGTGTCCACAGTCTGTGAGGTGCCCACAGTCTGTGAGGTGCCCACAGTCTGTGAGGTGCCCACAGTCTGTGAGGTGCCCACAGTCTGTGAGGTGCCCACAGTCTGTAAGGTGCCCACAGTCTGTAAGGTGCCCCCAGTCTGTAAGGTGCCCACAGTCTGTGAGGTGCCCACAGTCTGTAAGGTGCCCACAGTCTGTAAGGTGCCCCCAGTCTGTAAGGTGCCCACAGTCTGTAAGGTGCCCACAGTCTGTGAGGTGCCCACAGTCTGTGAGGTGCCCACAGTCTGTAAGGTGCCCACAGTCTGTAAGGTGCCCACAGTCTGTGAGGTGCCCACAGTCTGTAAGGTGCCCACAGTCTGTAAGGTGCCCCCAGTCTGTAAGGTACCCACAGTCTGTAAGGTGCCCACAGTCTGTAAGGTGTCCCCAGTCTGTAAGGTGCCCACAGTCTGTAAGGTGCCCCCAGTCTGTAAGGTGCCCCCAGTCTGTAAGGTGCCCACAGTCTGTAAGGTGCCCACAGTCTGTAAGGTGCCCCCAGTCTGTAAGGTGCCCACAGTCTGTAAGGTGCCCCCAGTCTGTAAGGTGCCCACAGTCTGTAAGGTGCCCACAGTCTGTAAGGTGCCCCCAGTCTGTAAGGTGCCCACAGTCTGTAAGGTGCCGACAGTCTGTAAGGTGCCCACAGTCTGTAAGGTGCCCCCAGTCTGTAAGGTGCCCACAGTCTGTAAGGTGCCCCCAGTCTGTGAGGTGCCCACAGTCTGTAAGGTGCCCACAGTCTGTAAGGTGCTCACAGTCTGTAAGGTGCCCCCAGTCTGTAAGGTGCCCCCCAGTCTGTGAGGTGCCCACAGTCTGTAAGGTGCCCACAGTCTGTAAGGTGCCCACAGTCTGTAAGGTGCACACAGTCTGTGAGGTGCCCACAGTCTGTGATGTGCCAACAGTCTGTGAGGTGCCAACAGTCTGTAAGGTGCCCACAGTCTGTGAGGTGCCCCCAGTCTGTAAGGTGCCCACAGTCTGTAAGGTGCCCACAGTTTGTAAGGTGCCCACAGTCTGTAAGGTGCCCACAGTCTGTGAGATGCCCACAGTCTGTGATGTGCCCACAGTCTGTGAGGTGCCAACAGTCTGTGAGGTGCCCACAGTCTGTAAGGTGCCCACAGTCTGTAAGGTGCCCACAGTCTGTAAGGTACCCACAGTCTGTGAGGTGCCCCCCAGTCTGTGAGGTGCCAACAGTCTGTGAGGTGCCCACAGTCTGTAAGGTGCCCACAGTCTGTAAGGTGCCCACAGTCTGTAAGGTGCCCACAGTCTGTAA